GATTTGAAATGATATTGTATGAGGTTTTACTAAGGGGTAATTGGTTAATTTTGTTGGGTAAGATTTGAAATGATTTTGTATGAGGTTTTACTAAGGGGTAATTGGTTAATTTTGTTGGGTAAGATTCGGGTAAATGATTGTGGTAACCTATGATTTAAGCTGTTTATGGAAAGTGTGACGGTAGGCCTATTGTCTATACTACTTGTATAGTTTTCTACACAATAATTAATGAACTTTCATTTATAAATAATACAATCTGCTGAAGGAGTGCGACTTTCCGGACATTATCATTGGAAATTGAAGTGACATTGATCTGTAATCATCGCTTAAGAGGAAATATATAAATTGCAAACATAATGCGCATCCTGGATAAACTTCCAACTTATGTCATATGCACGTGGCTTGAGTTCTAAGAACCACGACGGAAAAAAATTATTTCTGGTATTATCCTTCGCATTTACCTGTTCCCTTCATACTCAATCTCTTCCCATATTACCCTCTTCACAAGGGAAAAGTGCACCAGTTTACCTGTTCCTCTCACACTCCCCTCTTCGCAAGGGAAAAGTACACCAGTTTACATGTTCCCTTCACACTCCCCTCTTCACAAGGGAAAAGTGCACCAGTTTACCTGTTCCCCTCACACTCCCCGCTTCACAATGGAAAAGTACACCAGTTTACCTGTTCCCCTCACACTCCCCTCTTCACAAGGGAAAATTACACCAGTTTACCNAGGGAAAATTACACCAGTTTATCTGTTCCCTCACACTCCCCTCTTCACAAGGGAAAATTACACCAGTTTACCTGTTCCCTCACACTCCCCTCTTCACAAGGGAAAATTACACCAGTTTACCTGTTCCCTCACACTCCCCTCTTCACAAGGGAAAAGTACACCAGTTTACCTGTTCCCTCACACTCCCCGCTTCACAAGGGAAAAGTACACGAGTTTCCCTCAGCCCTGAGGGTCGCAGTAGCTACCGGAAAACGGGGCCAGTGAACCAAGTCGGATAAAGTGGACGCACTCATAGATATGAGTGTAAAAATTACCCAAATAATGATGCACTTTTTGCCTTTGGGTCATCCTGACCAAGTTTGACTGGCAAGAGGGCGTATCAATGCTACGTGCACAAAGTTTGTCGCAATTTTTGCAATATGGCTAATACATTTTTATGAGTGTCGTGTCCTCCATTGCTGATCGGCGGCCATCTTTTCGTGTCGCAATTATTTTTTATTAAAAAAAATTTTTGTGTCACCATTTCTTCGTGCCATTATTTTTTAATGTAGTAATTTAGATTCATGACTATTGAATTTTGTCATGGATTTTTTTTTAGAAAACAGGTCAGATTACAAATTTTTGTGACACTTGATTAACATACATATATAATTACAAATTTTAATTCAAGAATAACACTAAATATTCATTTGATTGTCCCATCCTTCATTCAAGCTGTAATTGCCCCTGAGTAAACACCTCAAATTCATTCAAATTTTTTACATTCATTTTCTTACAAAGCCTTAATTTGTAATCATTGAAAAAAGGCCCGGAAAATCTGACCGAATGACGACTGCAATAAAAGCTACGTTAAGTGTCGATACAACGACGAGGTCATATCTATACACTTCATTGTTACGTTCAGCATGCAGTTTATTTTCTTCACTAACTTCATCCTTTTCAGCGGCATGTTCACAGGCATCTAACACTTCGTGCAAATATATTTTTATTCTTTATTATCTCTCCAACATTTTTATTTATTATTATTAAATTTTTAAATTCAAATATCACGCTCTGATTGGTGTGCTCTAGTTAAACCCGGTATGTTGATTGGTCAGAGGTTAACGATGTAATGCGTAATCTTTAGGTAGAGTTCCCCTAAACAACGGACGTTTAACCGTTAACAAACAAGCGTGAAATCACGCTTGCTGCAACAGCGTGCCGCAGCTGGTCGCAGCAGGGGCAGATGGGGTATAAATACGCTGGCACTGCCGTGACTTGGCATCATTCGTCCTGCAAGTGCAGTGAAGTGTGCACGCTTACGCTTGTGTCTTGACCTACGGTAGTTCTTAAATCTAGACGCTTTTCCAACAAAAAAGCAACAAGTGCATCCCTGAAGCGTGTTCTGTCATATTCTATTAAAAGTGAGTATTAGAGTAAAGTCCGTACAATACTTAGATGTTGTTTTCATATGAAAAACTAAACTTAGTGTCACGTTTTTACACCACAATCGAATTTGAATTGCAATGAAATAATTCTTACGTACAAGAAGTGTTAACAGTTGATTACCTTGCAACGGCCAAAGGCATTTCTCAAAAACTTTTAACTAAATGATTTCAAATACTTGAATTTCCCTGCACTGGCTTCAATAATTGATATTCTGGCGCTAGATGTGGAGCATTTTTTATAAAGTATTCTCGCAACCTTGAAGCATTAGACATATATTAAAATTCGTATATAATATATACCAATGTCGTCGACGTTGATTCTAATTTTAAAATCGGGATTTGGATGTTCATTGAACACAAGTTTAGTTCCTGAGGCAGTTAAGTAGATTTTATTAAAGTTGAATATATAATGAATTAAAGTCAAATTAAGGTAGAACTAAACAACAAAATTGATTGTTTGGTTTAAATTTTTTTTAATAGTATCCTTGAATATTACATTTTTTATAATGAACCGCATAATTATTGTTATTTAAATGATCATATTTAAATTCATCAGGTAAACAAACTTGATATGAGATTAGGATCAAAATCTTACAAAAATCGATAAATTTTTCGAAAACTGAAATTTATTAGCAATTGAAGATGTTGAATTTTATTAAAGAGCGTAAAATTCTACTAAAGGTCTGCGATAATAGCTAAATCATGTACGATTAACCCTATTTACCACCTGTGATGATTCGACCAGTTATCAATAACAAACCGACTGCAACTCTGCGATCAACAATCCACGAAATTTCAATAAATAATCTACAATAAATGTTCTGCAACGATGATTATTTATGTCAGCGCGGTACAGGCTACGCCGTAGCAAAAATCGTCCGTCGTGCGATCCGAGGTCAGCGATCGCTTCCGCGCGTGGCGATCTTGAGATCGCAAAAAGCAGGGAAAAGTAGACTTGAATGCCCACCACGCCCACCACTGCCTCAATATGCAATATTTTACGTAGGAATAGCATTGTGAACTGTAGCAGGAATGTGTCGACATTGACAGCGAAGGTTAACATACTGGTAAGGTAGGAATAGCATGTAGAGTAACGTGATCAATGAATATTTTTGCTAATCTAATGAAAAAAAAATAGTTTTTTTCTGTGGTAGATTAGCTTTATAACTCAGACGAGACTGAAATTAAGAATGTTGCTACTCTTCTAGCCAGCGGCTTCCGGTTGATCAGAAACTAAAACATAAACTCGGACGAAATTTGATGTAAATTCAATACTAGCTTCCTACTATAAACTAATACTATATTTGATGTAAATTTAATAAACTTCCGTCAAGGAAGCCTAAGGATAACAGAACATGATTACTGACTTAGAGCCTTCGAAATTATTAAAGCTAGGCATCTTGAGTCTGAAATCTTAATCTCAAACACAATTAAAACTTACTTTATTCGTGCCACAAAAATTTCTGCAATTCTGCAATGCTACTAAAAATGGTGCAATTCGTGACACTAAGAATGTCATTATTCTTTCCAATAAAAACGCCGCGATTCATGCCAATAAAAATGCTTCATTTTGCGCAACGGAAAAAATTTAGGAATAAATATGGAGTTCTAGCCGCATAACACAATACACTGGACGCGGCCCTGAGCAACTCCTGGGGCATGTTCGGCAGGGTCTATAATTTCAAAAAAAGTTTAAGAGATCGTAAGTTCATCAGCCAATCATTGACGGCCTTTCAAGCCACTCTTTTAAAAACAGTTAAGAGATCGTAAGTTCATCAGCCAATCATTGACGGCCTTTCAAGCAAAATCCACCAATCATAGACAAGAAAATAGAGCGGAAATACTTACGTTCACTTAGCGAATTTTGAAAGTATAGGCCCAGGGCATTTCAGTCCGCAAACCACAAGCAAAATGCTTCAGTTGTTGGTAATGTTTTAAAGGCATTTCCGCTACAAAGTTAGCCGTTGGCAATATGTAAAGAAAAAGTTTGTTCTTTTTTCATGGCGGAAGTTAACGGTGGCAGAACGATATTTTATTAATTTGCCAAGATTGACAAATTTGAAGGAATCCAGAGAAGACGTGTGAAGAACACGGGTGGTAATTCGTTCAGTCTTTATCATTGCTTTATGTGATCAAAATTTGCTCATTGCTTTTGCTTAAATTAATTAGAACAAAATGAATGTTTCATGCCACTCTAACCAATAATTGTATCAAATGCACAAGCTACTCTTGTACATACCAAAATATTCAATAGAATTATAAATGCAAAATTCAATCAACTTGTTACTTTTTTGATGTTTCAAGTTACTGATGCAACAGCAGTAATTAAATTAATTATTTTCCATTACCGAATAAGAACTTCATGAATTTTCAAGAGAAGTTCATTCGTTGAACTTTCATTGAAGAATTTCAAACTTGGCAGTTTTCATTCATTTGCCGGCGATCGGATGAATGGGGGCAGCTTTATTGATCGGCATGGTAAGGCCTCACGCCATTAAGAAGCGCGAGCTCCATTTGGCATTCCGACGGCATCGGTGCCGCCCGCCGTGGCATGCCAGCTATGCCGTGGCATTCAGTCTTCGTATTTTGCTCGTTCTCTTTCTTTGATAGGCGGGCTCGAGCGTCTAACTCCTTTAATCCTTTAGCTTGCAATGCATTCAAAATCCACTTTTAGTAGTTGGAAACATTTCCGAAGAAATTAATATTGGAAACTGCACTCATATGGAAATGCTCATGCAAAATAATAGCTATTAAGAAAGAACATTTCACAGTAATATTCATGGTTCGCATGGTTTTTCACGAGACATGCATTGTACGCTGCTCCAAACTCAAGATAAAACAAACAAAATATTCCAAACAAAACACAACAAACTATTCCGTACTTTCCGAGGAATAGTTCAATGCTAAATCCCGAAAGTCGATGTTCGAAACCAAGCTTCTAGCATAAAAGTTCTTTCTTTACTGTTGGTAAAAAATTGTAAAAAACGGTCTGATCGACGTTCTAGTGGCCGTAAAATTACAGCATATTGCCGTTTTTTTATAAGATTAGGGTTTCATATGTTATTGAATTTGTTTTGTTTAACGTTACTACCGATCAAACCGTTTTTCGATATTTCTCAAAATATTTTATGTCTTTCCAGGCTGCTGGTATAAGGATTCCATCGACTGATCAACCAAAAAAAAAAAAAACAAACCACGATGGACTCTGAAGAATTCCGGCAGCGAGGTCGCGAGATGGTGGACTACATCGCCGGCTACCTGGACAACATCGACGAGCGGCGCGTGACGCCTAAGATAGAGCCGGGGTATCTGCGCCCCCTGCTGCCCGACGCCGCCCCCCAAGACGGCGAGAGCTGGGACGATATCATGGCTGACATCGAGACTAAGATCATGCCCGGGGTATGTTTGTTTTGGTTACATGATAGTTCTTACATTTGTATTGGCAAATGAATTGACTGTGACAGTTTGATAACTTTTGTTCTGGACGATATCATGACAGACATAGAGACTAAGATCACGCCAGGGGCCAGCAAATTTAGGTTGTATTATATATAATCTTTTTCGCAAGGACGAATGAGTTGAACTGTAATAGTTGGATTACTTATGTGAAATGACATGTTTTAAACGTTTATTTCATTTGCACAGTCAAATTTATTCATAGGAACAGTTCGGCTCTTACATTATACTATCGCAATAATTTGTAAAGCTTGCACCATCATATTTTTTATCTGGAAATCCTATTAAATTTCTCAACATATATCAATTCTGGTAATTTTAGAAAAAAATCTAGGATAATTTTTCTAACATTTTATTACATAAATAACCTCACCGAAAAAGTTTTGATCTGGCTGAATGCAAGCCACTGCTTCCATGACTACGCTTGAAATCTGTAATTATTAAAGCTGTTCTCTCTTAAATTGTCATTACCCAGACTTAATTTCCGAATTTCTTTAGTATGGTTGGAGGCCTTATCCCGTTAGTTAAATTCGAATGAAATGGTGTTTTAGCATTTTCATGCATTTTTTATGAACATCATATTAGCCATCAGAGGCGTTAAGGTCGGGGCCCTGATCATTGACATGAAACCATTCCCTGTTTTTAATTAATAAAATTAATTCCTTTTTGTTGGAATGGTGAGTGTGTATTAGCCATTTTACTCAATAATACAACGACATTACACAGCATATCCACCATTTGAAAGAAGAAGTTGCTTCCATTTCATAATTCTAACGTTCAGGTGAAACTTAACCAGCACCCTCGTTTCAACCCATAATTCTGACCCTCAGGTCACGCACTGGCAGCACCCTCGGTTCCACGCATATTTCCCCTCTGGCAACTCGTATCCTAGCATCCTGGGGGACATGCTGAGCGACGCCATCGGCTGCATAGGATTCTCGTGGGCGGCGTCCCCAGCCTGCACGGAGCTCGAGACCATCGTGCTCGACTGGCTGGGTAATATTTTAATCTTGTTTATTATAATATGATGCAGATGATAATAATCGTTGTTATAGACTTTTAGATATATAACTTTAATTACTGTCGCTCTCACCGTCACGCACAACATTCAGTTAATATCGTACTGATTGTCAGTCATGGTAAATGCCGGAGTATTTTTACAAATCTCATTCGAAAGTCTCTGGTTCATTTTTCACTTTTTATTTTTGCAAATTTACGACCGATAGCCTTCACGTTTTCCTCCATGCCATTTGGTGAAGCTTGCTCATGTAAATCCCATTATTATCTAGGATCTCATTAGCGACGCTAATTTCTATTACTTATGCCGTGTGCTGATGTGCTGTTGCATTGCTCTTCACAGGACAAATGGTGGGGCTACCAGAGTCCTTCTTAGCCTTCCCCAAGACCAGCAAAGGAGGTGGAGTCATCCAGGTTAGTTTGAACAGAAAAAGTAATATTTCATACGTTATTGTAGTAAGAAAATATCCAGACATCTTACATTTTTAGAAGTAATACCTCTTTTGCACGCGCCATATCGTTGTTTAAATTAAATTCGTTGTTTATTCAAATATTCGTTGTTTATATTTGAACATTCGTTGTTTAAATCAATTCGCTGTTTAAATCAAATTATCCGTTATTCCCACTTGAGTCATTTAATCAACAGTCTCTAATTCTTTATCATTAAATGTTTAATTATTTTACTCCTAAATTAATAACTTAGTTTTTTCTAAACTAAATATCATATAACTCTCATGTATTACGCATCAAGGTAAGTTATCTGGACAGCTAGTATCTTACTTACACCCCACGCACTTATTAAACGAATCCCTGTCCCGATGTTGAAATATATATTCAGTCAGGTGGTGCTTCACATGGCCGCCTGACAGTTTTACTTTCCAGTAATATCAGAATAGTCCAATAGTTACAGCTTAGATTACCTGGATGAAAGAGCGAGTTACGGGTTCGATCCCAGTTTTCTTGTATTATTCTGATCAAAATCGGCGAGGTGGCCCAGTGATTGAGAATAGCAAGATTAAAGTAGAGAGTTGCGGGTTCAAACTCCATCAAGCTGTGCGAATTCCACTGTATCACGAATCGGCAACATGCAATATATTTGGCCAGATGACAGCACTATTAATAATAATAATATTATACATAATTATTAGCATTACTCAACATTGCTCACCCATTTTTGTGCAGAGTTCAGCATCAGAGTGCGTGTTCGTGACGCTGCTGGCAGCACGTGCCCACAAGATACGTGAGCTCAAGATAAGTCATCCTGAAGAAGAGGAAGGAGTGTTGCTGTCTAAGCTGATCGCTTATTGCAGTAAAGAAGCTCACTCGTGCGTCGAGAAGGCCGCTATGATGGCCTTCACCAAACTCAGGATTTTGGAACCTGACGAGAACCAAAGTCTGAGAGGAGACGCTCTTGCCGAGGTGAGAAATTACAGTTTATTATCAAGTTTATTCCCTTGAAAAATTTTTATTTCTAATGAAACTTAACGAACTTGAACGAATTTTTTTATTTCTAATGAACTTAACGAATGTATCAATAGTTTATCATATTTTTTTAATTTAAATCATTTCAAAGCGCAAAGAATCTTAACCCATCAAAGTTATAAAATAGCTTTATAAAAACTTCTTTGGTTTTGGTTAACGGTTTTTATTCGCGCATTGAATCATAATCCATCAAAGTTATATAATCGCTTTGTTTACACTTCTTTGGTTTTGTTAACGGTTTTTTATTCTGTTAAAATGACAGCAAATCGCCCGTGACAAGGAGATGGGCTTCATCCCATTCTACGTGGAGACGACGCTGGGTACAACCTCCTGCTGCTCATACGACAACATCCAGGAAATTGGTGAGTTGAATGTGCACTAAATTGGTGAAATTACTATCTAGAAAATTGGTTATTGCATTGTACACGAAGATGGCAAGTTCAATATCCGAAAAATTGGTGTGCGTAATAACCAGGAAATTTGTCAGTTGAATGTACACTAAATTGGTGAAATTACTATCAAGAAATTGGTTATTGAAATGCAAAAGAAGCGGGGGAGTTATATATCCAGGAAATTTGTGAGTTGAACTTACACATAATTGTTGAAATGAATATCTAGAAAATTGATTATTGCAATGTACAAAAATTTGGCGAGTTCAATTTTCGAAAAATTGGTGAGCATAATATCCAAGAAATTGGTGATTGCCCAAAAGACTGGTGAGTTTATTGTGCAATAAGTTATTGAGTTCAATATCAAAGGGCTTGAGGATTCAGTTTACACGAAATAGATTAATTTTATGTTTAATTCTTCGATGAGTTCTTTGTGTGCGTCATCCTGACATAGTTTGGCCCCGTAAAAGAGCGTTCTAGTGCTACGTATTAGAAAGTGTGTCACAATTTAGACAATATGACCTATTCGTTTTTCTGTGTGTGGCATCGCCGGTGATTTAGGAGCGGAATTCATAGAAATAGCGTCTAAGATTCCATTACTATACGTATTTAATAATTTTTTACCTATTTTCTTCTTCTTTAATATAATTTCATCATTTGAATACCATTACTTCTTCATTATTCTGGCGGCCATATTATAATATTGTATAACAGTATACTATATATTTATAATTTATATATATTATATTTATAATATAAGAATATGTAATATATAATATAATATATATATATTATATATATTATAATGTGATGCACACAGGCCCGGTATGCGAGCAGCACGGCGTATGGCTGCACGTGGACGGAGCGTACGCTGGCAACTCCTTCATCTGCCCTGAGCTACGGGGGCCCATGGCGGGCATTGAGGTGACCTATATTAAACTATATTAGAAATTATTATTACTTATTATAAAAATATATATATATATATATATATACATTTTGCGATGACATTTAGTACCAGATTTCCAGGTCAGTTTGCAAATGAAGATAACCGTGTTTATAAAAAGAAGTAAATATTCAGGCTTAAAAATTACCAATAGATAAATCATTTATTTTAAATTTTTAGACCCGTTTTATTACGTTGGGTTTGCTAACAGAGTATTTTTTAATATATATTTAACCTCTTCAGAGTAACTTGAATAAATTAATTTTATTGCAATTAGCGAAGTCACCGTAAAAATGTTAATGACGGTTAGTTGTATAATTATATTGAATTTCATTTCTTAAAAATGTATCATCAACCACATGTTAATTAACATTATTAACAAATATTCAAGTTAACATTAACTAGTATTCGATATTTTAATATTCTCCCTACTTCGGTGATTTCAATATTTCAATGATTTGTTATTTAAATTATTTCAATATTTCTATGAGGTAAATATTTAAATGTATTCAATATCAATGAATTTCAATATTTTTACAGTACGCATCTTCGTTCAACTTCAACACCAACAAGTTTATGCTCACCAACTTTGATTGCTCAGTTATGTGGTGAGTGAAGTAAATATTTTCTGTTAGTTCTTGAGTCACACATTTTCTCGAATACTTTTGGTATGTAACAAAAGTAAAGTTAAGATGCCGATATTCTTCCCGTTAAACCTTTTAAAACATTTAGCAAGAGAGTTATTTTTCCAAAAATGATTTTAATTGACTAAATGTCTTCATTTATGTAAAATAAATATAATTTTTTCTCAAAATAATGGGAGTTTTTCCAAAAATCATTTATAAATACGATTTTTTTCATTTATGGAAAATAAAAAATAAATTCTCAAGATAATAATTTTTTCACCCAGGGTGCAGGATCGGTTTCGCTTGACCCAGGCGCTGGTGGTTGACCCACTTTACCTTCAACACTCATACTCCGAGCAGTCCATCGACTACAGGGTGAGTCAAGGCCAGCCTACACAAACATATATAATTATTTGTTTAAAAGTTTCTTCAAATAACATTCAATTTATTTATTATATCCCATATCACGCATTTCGAAAAAAATTGTGAATAAAATCTTCTCTTTGAAATTTTTTCATTAAACAATTGATGTAAAATTCTTCATTTTTAATTCAGACCAAATTTCCCCAATGAATTCCGGAATATTCTTCAGAAGAATTTAAGCGTTTAAATTCAAGCTAAGAAAATGTCCACTTTTTACATTTACAAAATATCGAGGCGTTCACTTATTGAATAATTGTTCTGAAATTTTATATATCAAGGCACAACAACAAAATACCCCCAATTTAGCATGATGTAATAATACTAAACCAAACATACCCAGTTCCCTGGCGTCCTCGCAAGTATTTCACAAGTTATTTAAAAATCTTTTCGCCACCCTCGCGTCCCTCGTAAGTTCTTCACAAATTCATTAAAAATTTTTTCGCCACCCTCGCGTCCCACGTAAGTTCTTCACAAGTTCATTAAAAATCTTTTCGCCACCCTCGCGTCCCACGTAAGTTCTTCNCAATACCTGTCTCTTATACACATCTAGATGTGTATAAGAGACAGCTTCGAGTCCTTCGTGCTGCAGGATGAACGTTTCGAAGTGTGCAGTCCTGTTCACCTGGGCCTCGTCTGCTTCAGGTTAGTCCAAAAGGCACCAATGTACTACTTAACAATGGACTAACTTCTTTGGACTAACATCAGGTTAGTCAAAAAGGCACCAATGTACTACTTAACAATGGACTAACTTCTTTGGACTAACTTCAGGTTAGTCCAAAAGGCGCCAATGACCTGTTGAAAATCAGTACCTTTTTCGGGATGACTAAATGCTTGTCAAATTACAATAATTTTTTATTTAGTTACTTGGAGGCAAATATATTGTCATAGATTAGATAGACTTGTCGAATTTAGTCCATGTTAGTTGATTCATATTCATATTATGTACTCATTATTTTTCTCAATACTCACTTCTGTTTATGCTAATTAACTATATGAACAGACCACTAAACTCTACTCAACAGCGACACATTCTATACTTTATTCATTTTCACGCTTAAATGGTACACTTCGCACGCGGTCAGCCAACATATAACGTTAAACGCCGCTTGGTTTAAGTCTCCTTTAATTAGTGCATAATCAAGCATTTTTATCGTCAACTTAATTATACCATTAAATATCCACCGGATTGAAAATGTTATCGTTGCAGGCTGAACGGTTCGAATGAAGTCAACCAGAAGCTGCTGTCGTCTATCAACGCGTCAGGCAGGCTGCACATGGTTCCCGCGTCACTGGGGGAGAAATACGTTATACGCTTCTGTGTGTGCGCACAGAACGCTACGGATGACGACATCGGTTAGTTAATATACATATGAACATAGTCAATAATAATTAATGCTTGCATGAATGTCAGTCTGGTAACCACTCATTGGCTCGTCGCAATTTCGAGAGGATAGCTCCTTTTTTCCATAATGCATAGATTACTCATATGAAACCGTTAATAATGCTAAAATTTATCAAATTCTGTCATTCGGTCAAATTCTGTTCTTCTGTCAAATTCTGTCATCTGTCAAATTTTATCATGTGTAAGACATATGACAGATATTCGTTATTTTAGTGATATATCTTACACATGAAATGCGTAAGATATATCACTAAATTAACGAATTATCACCTGTACAGAACACGCGTGGAACGTCATAACCGAGTTCGCGACAGACCTCAAGGAGATCATGGCTCAGGACGCCGTCAATGACGTGGGCACCAAGGTCAGGGATATGGCAATTACTGAAATGGTTACAATTTGTACTCGTTTATTTAATCCTCATCTCAATATTATTTCATAGATGATCACAAATTTTTACTTCTGGGGCTTATAATAGCCATATATGCTCTACTCTTATTCACCATCATCATTAGTTATTTCATTAAAAAAAATTTTCTTTCGATATTATTTCATAATGAATCAAAATTTCATTTGATTTTATTTCACGGGCTTACCATAGGCAGAACGTAACGACTTCTTTAATCAGTTATTATACTTTTCGTAACGGTTTCCTTGTATTTTTATTATTACACTTTTATTAGTTATTACACTTTTATTATTAGCATTGTTCAAACGGAAGGAAATGTTAACATTTCAACTCGCTAGACAAATTACTATGAAACAACATTTAACCACCGTTAATTCTAAAAAAATTATTTCATTTATTGTCAGATGATTGGTGGTGGGATTTTTTATCAGTTATTTAATAAAATTTTGAAGCTGTTGTACAGACGAAGGCGGAGAACATTACATTCTCGCTAAGCAAATATTGTTGAAATTAAGTTTACTTAACGGTGCATTAGCCTAAAATCATTCAATATACCGTATACCGTAAAATGTATGGCGGTATGTATTTTCATCAGTTATTTGCCAACATGTTGACATTGTACAGACTGAGGCTGTGAACACCGAGGAAGTCTTCCACATGGTGGACAGACAGACCAGGCGCAGCCTGCGCTACAAGAGGTCGTGCTTCGTCAGGATGGTATCAGACCCCAAACTCTACAACCCAAAAATCAACCCCAGCCCTACAGGTGATTGAAAATTCGGATTAAATGGCATAACAGGCACGGAATAATTTCTGTCTATAACAAGCAAATCCGTCACTATATGCAAATATTCACAATGAGTCTTAAAGAGCCGCAATTCTCGCTCGTGCCAAAATTTAGATTAAAATATTACTTAATGAGATTAAGAAGAAAAAAAAGTAATAGAAAGTTACCAGCAGTCGTTTCTTGGAAACTTATCGCATAGGTGAAGATTATGCTGTCCCAAGCAACTTCATTTAACGTTGAATTCTGTACTAGGATCGTCGTTTGACTGAAATTTTTTGTTCTGACGTTTAATGAACATTCAATTGTGCAGGTTCAGTGAGATCGCGGCACCCCACCGTCGAGCACGAGGTTAACGGACACGCATCCTCAGGCATCCCTATGTGAGTACTGGAGGAGTGATGCTCCTTATATGGGCACTGTAGGAGTAATGCTCCTTATATGGGCACTGTAGGAGTAATGCTTCTTATATGGGCACTGTAGGAGTGATGCTTCTTATATGGACACTGTAGGAGTAACACTCCTTATATGGACACTGTAGGAGTGACGCTCCTTAGATGGGCGCTGTGGGAGTAGCGCTCCATGTATATGCACTGAAATAGCAATACTTTTTTGCTAATTACTCAACGATTAACAAACCCAGTGTAAAGTCTTAAAAGTAACGCCTCCACTGGAAAAATAGCGCCGATTTTAAGTGCCGTGAGAGTAACGTGCGTGTCGGAAAGGCAGCTCCCCTACTCTATTCAACGCTACCTCACTACTTCATGCAAATTTATTTAGTAACGGTCAATATTATTGCGCGGTATTCCGGAAAACGCAATGTAATTGATTTTCTAGGGTTTTATAGTATTTTTATCGCAGTAAATTAGACTATTAACACTCGGTCTCCTGCACCAATGAGCAGCTGTTTCTTGACTGACTCGTTGCCAACAACGTCGTTCAAGTGATATTTCTTTCAAATAAATCTATCTATATCTTATTAGCTTAATAATTTTTTAGTTTAGTAGCATTAGTATTTTATTTTATACTATTTTTATTCCAAAAATAAAATTTCACTGAATTCTTATTATTAGGTTCTCTTGCACTCATTGTTTTTTTTCTGGTTCTGTTACTTTAATTTTCAAACATTGAGGGTTTTTTTCAGTTTCTTGGACCTGGTTTAATTATATTTACCTACTTATACTCACCAGGTATTCAATTCCCATACTCCGTCCTCACTCTAATTAGCTTAATGCATGCCGAAAAAACATCGTTCATTCTTTTTTTATATGAATCAAACTTTACTTTCCTGCTCTATTATTTGAATCAATTTCAAATTTATTTAATCACTTTTTATTGATTTTTTCGATTGTTTATTTGACAGCGACAGCGATGACACACTCAGGCATCCCATATCTCAAGCGTCGATGGAGAGCCTTCGCAACGAATTCCTCTCATCCAGCCCATCTTCCCCATTATCACCCTCAGCGTTCCCTTGGTCCCCTCTCTCCCCATTAGCGCTCAATTCGTTCCCATCGTCACCCTCGCGGTTCCTCCCGCGCACCAAAAGCGATGTTGCTGATAAAATGACCATGTGCAACCTCATCGATGTTCAGAAGTTGAACCAGGAAAACAAGGCCATTTAAACGCTCGGGCATTACGGGCATTTAAACGCATAGGCAATACGGTCATTTAGACTTACAAATATAAAAGCCATATGGACGTAAAAACAGCAAGACCTTTTATAAGCAAAAATATAAAGGCCATTTAGAAGTAAAAACATAAAATTTTTATGGAAAAATATGAAGGCCATTTATACGTAAAAACAGTAAGATATTAATATCGTATATATAAAGGTCATTTAGACGTTAAAATAAGGCCATTTATTCCTAAAAAATTAAAAGGGGCCATTTATTTAAATACCAAATTTAGATGAAAAATATTTTGCCGTATCAATCGAACTAAATGAGTAGTCAAGGTTGAGACATGTTTAGCGTGAGTATTCATTTTTTAAGCTCTGTATCAAAAGCTGATATGAATTAATGCTATATTTTTTACTGTTTATTCAACTATAAAATTTAGATTATCAAGTTAATTTATCGACTTTTAACTTGCCATAGCTTTTTTTTGCCAGAGAACTAGCAATTTTATTCGACAAACATTTAACTATTGAATATGAAATTTCAAGGTGAGTTTTTTTCATAAATTTCATCATAGACTGTCTATAATCAGAAGGAAAAAAATAATTACAGAAGTATTCAGATGATTGTACATAATTTTCATTGTTATCTATGAAATTGCGCGTTTTGGCGTCGTTCGCATTACACATACAAGATTTATTTGCTGTTAACTTAGCCTGGGCACTGCTCTCCGTGCTACTACTTTGTAGTTCGTATTTGTGCATTTTTTATTTAACGTTTTGCTATACTCAACTGCACATAATATTTAGCTGTAACTTTTATTAAGCTGCACATATTATTCAACTGTAACTGTTATTCAGCTGCAATACCATTTGGCTGCACATTTTAATCAACTTTAATCGTTATTAATCGGCATATTTTCGTTGTTCAGCGCCAGGCACAAAATTGGTAGGATGTTGTCCTATTATTTAATAATTATTATCTATGATTTGTGCTGTTTTAATTGTATGTTTGTGCCGCGCGACCAACGTGTTTATTTATTCTAAATTTATATTTAAATGTTTAATTCGGCATGAAAGGCAATAAATTCAATTTATACTTTAATTTTTTTTCGTTTAATTTATCTTGATCCTTCGGCATGAAAATTTTTTGGTTAATGTTATTTTATTCTTTCCTTTCATAGATAATTTATTTTATTTTATTTTTAGATCATTTACGACTCAGAAATAAGTGAATTAGCCCGGGCACCGAAAACGCTTTACAAAGTTAACGATCATGGCATAAATAAAACAATGAAATTATTTTGCAGTTATTCAGGCAAAAATATCGAGACAAATTTCATTGTGAAATAAACATTGCACATCTTCGACGAAAACATTAGTAAAAGGGAACGAACAATTTTCTCATTGAGGATTGAACTCTCGAAATCAAGCCTCGGTTCATGAACGCCAAATGTTATCAAAAATAGACGTAAGACGAACATCCACAACGTCATCGGTGCTCTACGTCGTTGAGGGCTACGACAATTTATTATACGTTATTAAGTGACGTACATCACTCATCGTATGAGTGACGTACATAACTCGTCGTATTTTGAGACTCATTAAAAAATTAACGATAATTACCAGGCACCTGATGCGACCTCGCAGAATCAGGCTACTGAGAACCAAGTGCTGAACTCTCCCATGAAGATTGTCCATTCGATATTAATGCTAATTAAGATTATTTACTAAATCCAAAATTATTAAGATCTGATTGCACAGTATTTTTGAGTTTCAAAATCTACACTTAAAGTATACTTCGTTTCAACATGATTTACACGGCATTGATTACCCGCAATCGTTCAACTGTAAATTCGTGTGAAATGAAGATACTTCGTTATGATTAAATACTGACACGCCTAATTAGTCCAGGGAATGATAAACTACAATTAGAACAGGTCACTTGACCGGCATGACTTCATATCTTAATATATATCCCACTAAAAAATATATAATAAATGTAGATTTTTAAAAAGCAACATGTCAAGAAATTTTTAAATCGTTCGAGTAATTAGAAGCCAATACCTGTATTTGTGTAATTTTGTGTAAACGAAAGATGGAAATTGGAACGCTATAACGCATTGAATGAATATTACTGAAAATAAACATAGATTTTCAACAGTCGAGGTGTCGTGTAGATTGTTTCCTTGACTAGTAAACATGTACCTAACAATAGTTTTACGGTAATTCATACTCTGAACTACAAATAATTTCATACAACTACGTGAAAGCTAAACGCAAGATCATATAATAAACCAAAAAATTTTCTTACTCTCGAACGACGCCGTCAAATTCAGTAGTGAACCGGCACTTCTCAGGATAGGGCATCATGGGGCAGCGCCCCCCCCCTTTTTTAAACTAAATTTTTGATTAAATTTTAATTGATACGAGGTGGTTCTTTATTTTGTTTAAAGGTACAACTAATGAGGAATGTATGATGTGAATTAGACGCCTATAGAGTTATTCAATTTTTAATGAAACACTATTTTCTAAAAAGGGCCTTTGCCCATTGCCCCCACCCCTGAGGCAATGGGCCCATGGGCTTGGGGCAAGGCGCCCACCCTTGGTCCCTTTACCACAATTGCATATTTTTCGTTTAAAAATGAAAAAAACAACACTTTACAGTTATAAATAAGAAAAATGCAATAAAAAATATGACATTCATTTCTTTATTAACAACTCTAAAAATCACATCCTTAACTTGAAAAAAAATATACTCCTGGCTTAAAAAATTTATCACTGACGTGGATAAAAATATTTCATTGATATAAAAATATATATCCTTGAATTGAAAAATATATCCTTGCGATAAAAAATTCGTCCTTGAAATGATTAAATGTATCCTTGACTAGAAAAAATATATTTAGTTGGTCAGAAAAAAACTTCGTTCCAGTTTCGTCCATAATCCAGATATGTGCAGAGAATTCGTACCTAATCATGATTTCAGCCAACACCATAAAACTCATCAACTTTTGCCTCATTGGTGTTGACTGAAATCAACTTTTGGCAAGGCAAGAGTCAATAACTCGATAAGGAGTCATAAATACGCATAACTAGAAACTAAACCTGCTGCCTTGAGGCGGCAAATCAAAAAATCATGCAATATAAAGTGTAATTTGTAATTCAAAAACTAGTAATAGTTTTGAAAAGGTCATTGAAACAAATCTAATGATGTATAACACAAGACTTCACCATGGGCGCTTTGCCCTGTGACACGCGTGGGCCCGTTGCCTCACTAGGTGTCATTTCAATTTATATCGTGTCAACAGTTTATTTTAAAGGCTAATAGTCTAAACTTGATCCCAAAATTACCCCTTTAAATATTGCTTTCAAAATATAACTCGCAGTAATTTCAAAAGCTTCATCTACAGTAATCGAAAACAGTTTTATTTAGCAGCAAAAAATTTTTATCTGGGCTAAAACAGTTATTCACAAATAACTTAATAACGCAAACACCTAGCAAAACGTAAATCCGTACACTTCATCCCAGTGAAACTGTCGACCGGCGGTAGAGAACACGGACCAATATCTGCCATACTTAGCGAGAAACCCGCTATGCATGGGCCCATGACCCGCAGTGGCCGGGCTCGCTGCCCCATGTTACCCTATTAATCAAAGTTAAATTTTTGTTTACATTTAACTTCCAAAATAAATTTGTACAATTAGCCCAACTGCAGAAAAAACTAATGATAGTTTCAGAATTGATGACTCATGAATTATTCTCTAATATTTTTTAATAAATAATAAATTTATTTCTAAAAGCTCGTCGTGGGTGTCGTGGCCGCTGTCGGTGCTGCTGCACGGCGTCCTAGACGAACTGCCTGCGCAGTCTGCGCTGCCTGTCAGGTCTTAATGAGGGCTATGAAATTTTGAATTTATGGCTTAGGTATCCAAAGTTTAGATCTAGAATTTATGGCTTAGGTATCCAAAGGCTAGATCTAGAATTTATGGCTTAGGTATCCAAAGTTATGATCTTGAATTTATGGCTTAGGTATCCAAAGTTTAGATCTTGAATTTATGGCTTAGGTATCCAAAGTTTAGATCTAAAATTTATGGCCTAGGTGTCCAAAGTTTAGATCTAGAATTTATGGCCTAGATATCCAGAGTTTAGATCTAGAATTTTTGGTCTAGGTATCAAAAGTTCAGATCAAGAATTTATGGCCTAGGTATCAAAAGTTTAGATCTTGAATTTATGGCCTAGGTATCAAACGTTTTAACTTTGAATTTATGGCCTAGGTATCCAAAACTTTAACCTTGAATTTATGTTCCATTTATCCAAGACCTTGACCTTGAATGTATAGTCTATATATACAAAGTTATGTACGTGCTCGCAGGTTCCGCAACTGGAACACCCAACTGACGATCAAGAGTCCAGCTCGTCGCGGGGAATACAAGGATCGAATCCCCGAGGAAGAACGACGTCTGTCAGGCTCGTCCTCCCCAGCTCGGTCCCTCTCTTCCCCAACTCAGCCCCCTTCTTCCCCAGCTCAGTCCCCAGAAGAAAGATCCTCATCGGCCTCTTTTCTTGATGCTTAACTCCATCAGCCTATTTATATTGCGTACTTTTTTGGTTTGTTTTAAGCCAAGCAACAATATGGTAAAAATATTTCTGTGACTCTTGATTAATATAGTTTAACAATTTTGAGTATATTTCAAATAAGTTATATTTTTACGGAACTCTCTTTGATTCGTTTTTTTTATAGGCGCACTGACAGAGATAGCGTGCCAAATACTGGAAAAATAGTCATTTCAAGTGATCTATATTATACATATATATTTTTTCGATATACCGTATTAGTCGGTAACGAGGAAGACATTTGCCCATCAGCTTACACACGTGGTGTCTGCATTCCGCATTAGTAATCACATTTTTTTCTTTAAATAAATTAATTATTAAAAGAACTCGCGCAGCCAGCGTCTTCCGGTCTCAAGGCAAGGTCAGGCTGACACGTTGATCAATTAGTGACTTGATTTGTAACTAATCGACTAGTGACTTCATTTGTTACTAATCAACTAGTGACTCGCTTTGTTACTAAATCAACCAGCGACTTGATTTGTCACTAAATCAACCAGCGACTTGATTTGTCACTAAATCAACTAGTGACTTGATTTGTCACTAAATCAACTAGAGACTTGATTTGTTACTAATCAACTAGTGACTTGATTTGTTGCTAATCAACTAGTGACTTGATTTGTCACTAAATCAACTAGTGACTTGATTTGTCACTAAATCAACTAGTGACTTGATTTGTCACTAAATCAACTAGTGACTTGATTCGTTACTAGTCACGCGTTCCAAAGACTATTTTCATAATAATAACTAGTGAAAAATAGAATTATTTTTCATTGCGTGAAAAAATTATAGTCTCGAGTTCTTTATGAACTCGAGAATATATTCCTGTCGTCTTTGCTGAAGTACAGTATATGTTTGTGAAGAATCCGCCTTCTATTTTCCGTACAATATTGATAATTCCTTCAAGAATTAGAAAGCGACATTGTCATCATTGATTCGGTCGATCACTAACGACAATATTATTTAAATCCAAACCACACGACATTTAAATAGTTGCAATGGCACAGTTCATCATCACAAATATTTTGTTTTCGAGAATGGAAACACTTTACGTCAATTGACATAAGCATATTTTACTTTTTTTCATCCATTTCAATTGCTGCTAAGTTTGTCTGCAGAAACCATCTCACAAGATTTTAACGCTTATAAAGTGCAAGGAAAATGATTAAAAACCATGGAAAATGAAAGAAAATTTTAATACTCGAAATATATAAGATTTTTACAGTGCTTCTATGTACAAAAGTCGGTACTTTGCGTAAAATTATCACTACGCGTTCCTACGTAAGATAAATCGATTCAAATGGATTCTCATTTGCCGAAGAGCAAATAATCAAAGTTTATATGAAGTTAAAGCCTATATATGTAATATAAAATACAAGCCGATGTTAAGTTGAACTACACGAAACTTCGTTTCAATACCACCTGCCTTATTTATCTCGCTCCCAAAAAGCTGAAATTCTCAACGCGATGCGGTTTTCCTATGCAAACAAATTCTATTAAAAGCGTATTCGCTGCAAGCTGCCTCTGTCACTCAGAGAAAAGTGTGTTACAAATAGCGTAGCAATCATGCCTTTGTCAGGGTCGTCTTGGCCCAGTTAATCTGGCCCGATGAAAGAATTTATCAGTGTAATGTGCAACGAATGTGTCACTATTTTGACCGTGTAATCGACTAATTGTTCTGAAAACATGATCTGGCTTCTATTTAGCATTTTTTACTTTTTAGGTGAGAGAAATACATGGTATATTGTATTAAATATCCTATTAATAGTTCATATAAGACGTGGTCTTGTATTGGACATTCAAGAAATCAATAGAAAGGCATGTCATTCAACATTTTGAAACTAAACAAGCACGCACACATCGGAATGTTTCGTCAATTGCGACAATATTGCAACCAATATTGATTATAACCTTACGAAAAAATACGACAAGATAAACTAAAAAACTCAAGTTTTCGGTGATTTTTATGCACAATTTCGATGCTATTTATGCTCATCATGATATTAAATTGAGCCGCCATAGTGTTCACATTTTAGCAAAGGATGAAAGTCTGTAATTTCTCTCTTCGAAGTTTGAAACTAGGATTTCGAATAACGGACGTTAAAGTTGGCTAAATAAATATTTTAGGAAGACTTTCAGAATTCTGCAATGGGATAAAATTATACTTTCTCAACTTAAAAAAAATGTTTTGAATTTTGAGCGAATTCTGAATTGCATGTAACAAAAAAAGAAAATTGTGATGTACTCAGGAGTCAGTTTGTAATTTTTTAGGCTTTCAGTTCAGAATAGTTGAATGGATTTTTTACCTTAACAAATTACTCCTTTCAGTTACCCATAATCTGTCTCTCGGTTGAATAACCATGAATATATCACATGAAGCACAATCAAATTATCAAATGATTTCACACCGCTACTGCTTTCACAAATGATATGAATTATAGCATTCAATGAATTTAGATTTTAAAATTGAAAATCATTTTAAAATGAGTCCCGCCACTCAATCGAAGAAATCAGTGATAATTTGTACAAATAAACGATGCATTCCTTGCCCTTGTGGTAACCATACTGACACAGTTTGACGCGACCAAAGTATGCATCAATTAGCTGTGAGTAGAGTGTGTCCCTATGGGTAAGAAAGTGTGTCATGATTTGGGCAATATGATCCATTCCCTCTTCTTAGTTTCCAAACAAGCCGAGGGTGATTCTTCTGTAAGAAGTTTTCTTGTAAATACATAAACCTGTATCACTATAAACATTTTTGATGATGAAATCATTACCGCTACACAATATTTTGATATTACATTTTGAAAAGGAATTATGTTAGCACAACAATTAGTTGACATCCTCGGCTCTTAGAAAATAAGGGGTTAGCAAAACTAGTCCTTGGTCAGCAGCTAAGGGGAATAGGGCATCCCTAAAAACTAGGGTTTTGACCCCACATTTAAATTGCACACAAGCAATATACAGTATCACAGTTTATCGTTAACAAACTAAAGCGATACTTCGCTTCGTTGTTAAAGCCTTCGAAGAATACCGTTCCTTTATTACCGTGCTTCCAGGTACATAAGAAGAGTCCCATTTTAATTATATCAAAGATACACTTCTTGGCGACGATGTGCATTCCAGAATCTGGCTCATGGACAACAATAAAGGAACGAATTCTTTCTAATAAAATGTTTGAATTAATTAGTTGAATGTCACGAGAGCGATCCAACAGCACCCATGCATCAACGGTCTGTACAACAATTAACAAGTTGGTTGATATTACGATATCCGGAGACACATAATCATTTGGGCGCGAGTTAATCTATAATCATCTACCAGGCGACACTATTCTGCAGCTTAGGATACCTTTCGTATTAACTATTTCAGGATTACTCAAGGACTTTAATCCCTGTAATCCCCCCACCGATGTATTTCCGATCACAGGAACATTTAGATTCGATTTACTAAATTTAAATGTTGAATTGCATTTTCTGTTTGGAATGAAATTAATGGCTAAATTCTTTAACTGAGGCATTTTGCACCTGTTGCTGTCAAAAATATTCCTGTGAATTTCTGTGCTACAAAAAATCATAATGAGGTTTTCTATTTTAGGGTAAACTGAGGTTGCAAACTGACATTGTAAACTGAGATTGTAAACTGAGATTGTACTAGACTATAACTTTCAGGCTGTAAACTGGGAATCTATGCCCCTGCATTCGCTAAGTAAGATTTGTATGCAAATATGAATTAGTTTAAGCAAATGATGATTTTATTGAAGTCCCCTATTTGTGTGGAGATATGGTTGAGTTCACAACAACAATTATTACTTATTTCGATCTATCCAAATTGACCATTATGAGTTTGCTCGCTCTGCTCACTCTAACCATTAGCCACTTTAACATATTACAGTCTAACAACGTTTGACGATCCTTCTGTTTCCCATTTAACTTAAAACACATCTACCACTTTAACTCATTCACTTGAATTTTTTATAGGAAGGCAGAGAATAAATTTCCCGCTATATTTTGTTGCACAGTTCACCTCTGAAGTCTCCCTGTGTCTTTTGAAGAATAAATTGCCCTCTATTTAGAATAAATTTTGTGGAATAGATCGCCCTACTATTCCCCTCCATATTTCGTAGCACAGATCGCCCTACTATTCCCCTCTATTTTTTATAGAAAAGATCGCCCCCTCTCTTCCCCTCTATTTTTTGTAGCACAGATCGCCCCACTATTCCCCTCTATATTTTGTAGCACAGATCGCCTCTCTATTACCCTCTAAATTTTGCATAAAAGATCAGCTCTATCCAAGGTTACAAGCAACATTGATCCTTTCTTTCCTCATCAAAGCATTATTTTGCATAATAAATGTGGTTATTAATTTATTATTACAATTAGTTCAACTGCAACACAAAATTTGAGCTCTTCAGTCAATTCATCAGATGAATCACGTACGGATCTGGTGCTTAAATTAGAGTAACTGTGATACATGAGGATAACAGCAATTATAAAATATTTCATAATATTGAATGGAGATAACAACAATCATAAAATTATTTATCATTTTTCATGAAGATAGCTGAAACCATAAAATACTTAATAGTATTTAATGAAGATCCCAACAATCATAAAATTCTTTAGCATCTTTATCATATTTCATGAAGATAAGGGCAATCATAATATACTCTATCATTTTTTATAAAGATAACAGGAATCATAGAGTAATTTATAATTTTTAATGAAGGTATCATCTTTCAAATTCATTGCGGTTCATCGGCTAAATAATGGAGACGCTCACATCAAGGCTATTAAATCAGCAGATTCTCAGCTGAACTAATCGTGATTTTCGACGTGTGCTTCAAATGACTCGTTTTGTGTGTAAATTATCACCAATAAAGGAATAATTAGAGCTGTGCTTTAATATAAAGTTTGTTTGAGGCTTGCGAATCTGCCTAGAGTTCTGTAGCAATCCGATGTCTAATAATTCAATGCTAACAAACTACTTCATATTTCCAAACAACTTTTCTGATATTCACTCGATTAGAAACTAGTTGCTCCGTACACTACAAATACTTTATTTAGGCCACTCATAGCAGTTTTAAAATAAATATTGAAATTAATTTTCTTCTAATTCTATTATAGATTTGTCCATCATGATTCGTCAATAAATTGCAGATATAGTTTTCGCCTGTTCTATAATATCGACTAGAATTAGAGTTTGGATAGTGCGATTAGATCGCAGTGCGGCAATATAAGTTGGATTCGGCGAGCATTTTTCAATATTATTGCGCTTCATAATAATTTATTTATTAATTTATTGAACTTCTCTCTGAAATCGATCTCGAAATTTAATGCGGATGATATCGGCATTATTAACATGAATTAATCATTTCTTAACGTTACACAATGGCGTAATTCAGTATGAAATTATTTTTCAAATATCCTGCAGAAAAATCAGAAGGCTCCACTGAAATCCCCCCTGTGCCTCTTAATCTTATTAATCCATGAATAAAAACTCCACCAAAGTTTGATGGCATACAAAACACGCAGGCATGTCACAGAACTGCTCGTTCCCTTAGGCTAAATCATGAACTCAGCGACGGTATTTGACCGAGCCCGGAAGGTCTTAGGCTTCATTTCTTCTCATAGATTATCTTTAGATTTAGACCGCGGTGGACCTCTTATTCGTTCTCGTCTCGCCGCGATATCTTGTTCGGTTATCTCGTCTTCAAGCATCCCTCTCACTAAAGAATCCGATCCTGGGGAAGGTTCTGCGGCGTCTCCGGATCCCTTATTGGATCCACTTTTGGATCGGGACTTTTCCTTTCTTCTTTGTCGTCGAGCTTCTTCTTGGCTCGGAGTTCTAGGAGAATGGATGCTTAGTGCTGATGAATGATGCTGGACTGCTCTAGACTGACGATCTAAGGCATCTGTGCTCGAGTGGAGTCTTTCGGCGCTGTTGTTTCGGCTCGCAGTTGCGGGACTTCGTCTGTGGTGTCGGGAACTCGGGTATACCTCGTCATGAGATCCGCCTCTCAAGTTCGAAGGATGGGACGTGGACCGAGGCGTGGGGGTGTTCACTCGCGCCGCCACGTCGTTCACGCGCTCCTCTAGTCTCGAGATCTTCTGGTTGAGTCTTTGTAGTTCGAGTTTGAGGTCGATCTGCCAAAATCGAAAATTTTAGAAGAATACTCGTGATAGAATGTGCCGGAATTCAAACATGATATTTTCATGTAATAAAACGAAAACGTAAGAAATTAACTTCGAGGATTAGGACGTTTTCAATTACACTCACTTTGAAATCCATGAGGTTAGCAATGATCTGTTGGGTGTCGGAGATGGTGAGGGGAGGGGAGGGCTGTGGTGGAGGTTGCGTGCCTCCCTTGAGGTCGGAGTCGCTCCCCAACGGTCGCTTCTCAGGGGCCTTTATCGCCTCACGCCCGACGCCCGAATCCGACGAATCTATTTTCTTCAGAAGGATTCGCGATTCCGAATCCTAGTTTAAAAATATATCAAATAAAACACTGAATATCTGTTTCAAGGCCTCCTAAAAAACATTTGAAAAACATCGCTGGAGGCTAATTCACTTGCATAGCCGATTGGTCCGGCTATTCTATAGTCTCGATGAATATCATTTAATTATTATTGAAAATGTTACTAGAATTGTTGGTGACTAGTGATCGAAGATCATGCATTCATATTCTGACATTATTTTGAAATATAGTACAATTAGATGATAATTACATATTTATACATTAATATACTCTTGAACTTGAACGATGGTTTGGAACATATAGTGAACATTTAAAAAATGTTTAAAAAGTATTTGGTTAATTGATTTTATCTAAAAATTTAATATGGGGAAAAACAATTTGAAGTTCGATCTTTGAAATGAAAAAAAAAAACCTTGTGAAATTTTATTCCCAGGAATATAAGAGTTTTAATTTTTGCAATCAAATTTTTTTGGACAAAACGCCACTAATTGCATGCAATAAAATTCTTCACAGTTTAATAGACTGCATTCAGAGAAATAAGTGGTTTATCGTTCAAAAAGCGATCCACTTTTTGCCCTGCCGTTGTTCATCCTGACTGACATTGGCCCAGAAAATAAGAGTGAGCTACGTCCACTTTCTGCTCGTGCGTTGGGGTAAGAAAGTGTGTCACTATTTGAGCAAAATAACTCACAAATTTTAATGAGTGTACTCAGCAACGAGGCATCGGCGCATTCAAACATAAACGTAGGTAAGAGCGTTCACATTTAATCAACCGGTATATATAATACAAATTAAAGTGTGATTCGTATTTGTGTACCTGAGAAAAAATGAATATGGAAAAAGAAGAACTGAATTCTAATACTCTATTTATAAAACCCCTATAATACAAATATTTATACGTAAAATTATCCTATAAACTACTATTATTGTTTATAATACCCCTATGGCTTTATTTTAATAGTGACAGGTATCGCAAGAAGAAGATGCATCACTTCGCACTATTGCAGATGGTATTATCAACATTTTTATTTGAAGCCCAAACAGTGCATGAACTCCGTACATTGATTTGAAAGCATAGTTTGTGAACAGTTTAAATTGAGCGGTCAGGCGCCGAGTTTAAGCAAAGCATTCGAATGTTATTTAAAATAGGCAAACGCGGATGATCTCAGCCGCCTATGCCCTGCACGAAGCAGCAAACGAGAAAAAGCTTTCGAACTTAACTGAGTTTCTATGAATAATTAAAAAACGTTTAATTGTTTATTTACAATACCTATAGCACATGACATCTATTTACCTGCACCCGAAATTATGTGAGCTCAACGTAGTAACTCAAAGTCTACACTCGAGATAATTACGACAATAAGACCTCAATAAAAGTGCAAGTTAACCCACAGTGAACAGCGTCCTGAGTTTGAAGGACTTTTTTAATTCATGCTAGTTGAATTCACGTGTAACAAATATCGACGAAGCGATTTGTTATGATTTCATCCATTACCCACGAAGGCACCGGTGTAAATTTCGGGGCTGAATACTCCCCTCGAGGAAGCCGTTTGAGAAGATTTCCGGTTGATTTCCTTTCAAAATGGATTTGAAAAAGCAAATATACACAAAATAGACGCCCTTGTGTGGTCATCAGAGTTATAGAAGCTATCATAGCCTGAAAAACAACGTAGATGCGCGACGTTCAAGGTTCAATTGTTCATGCAAACTTTATCTCGCGTACCCGCAACTTTCTATGGGATCCTGAGCTGTTCGTCCTCGCCATCAGATCGCCCCCAGGGGCGTGTTTAGTGGGTGTGGTGGGTGTGGTGGCAGCGGTGCAAGGTGTGAGTTTGGTGGATGAGTTGGTGGGTGTGGTGGTTGCGGTGCACGGCGTGAGTTTGGTGGGTGCGGTGGATGAGGTTTGTTTGTTGGATGATGGGCAGGTGATCGTGAGTATGGAAGGAGTAGTTGCTGGAGTGGTGGCATGAGGTTGGACTAGGGAAGCATTTTTACAAGCGGAACTAGTTCTAGAGAGAGCTAAGGAAGAAGAGATGGCTGGAATAGTGGATGATATTACAGTTGATGACGTAGTCTCTGTAGAGGGTGCAACGGTTCTAGAACCAGAACCAGTTCTAGAACCAGAACCAGTTCTAGAGTGAACTAGAGATGCTGATGAAGAAGAGTTGAGGACCGTTGAAATTGTGTTGGTTGTGCTACTAGAATTAGAAGAGGACGATGCTGGAGATTTAAGGTGCATTGAATTTATCAGTTTTGCGGGTGTTTTTGTATTGCCTGTCGATGCGGTGACACAAACTGAAGATGGAGTGGTGGCAGAAATGGTTGAGGGTGCCGTGATAGTAGAAGATGCAGTGGTTGTGGATATGGTTGATGGTGCCGTGATGGTAGCAGATGCAGTGGTTGTGGATATAGTTGACGGTGCAGTGATAGTAGCAGATGCAGTGGAAGCAACAGAAGAAGCAGTTGTAGTGATGGCAGGCACTGGGCGTCGCACAGCTGCCTGCTCGTGTTCAGAAGTCAGAAGTTGTGAATATCAAACTCATAAGAGACGACAATAATAATTTAGTTAATGTGACGCTCGCTCTCTAGAGCTTGCAGTAGACGGTGAAGGTGCGATGAAGAAAGGTTCGGCTGAACCGCATGCATTGAGAGGCTTAGACACAGTATCTCATTTGCTGAATATTACTGAATATTAATAAATATATCATAAACAAAAAGTTTAAAAAGAATCTTGTGTGCTAGCCAGGCAGAAAAAAAGTTCCATAGAATTTGGCGAGGCCACACGGTAAATAATTACAAAATAAACATAGTTAATATTGCACACGTAACACAGAGAAAAAGAACAAAGAAATCGTAGGCAAATGTTTTATTCTGCGACTAATAATTCCCGTTTAGAATCATGGCTTCTTCATCGGCGGCCAATGATCGACAGATAAAAAGTCGCCGATTCTTTGGCCATTATTTTTTAGCAGGGTTTAGCATTTCAGTACAAGCGCGTATTCAAATTAATAATTTATTGAAAAACTGAAAGTGCTTTCTATTACTTGCTTAGCCAAGCGACTGTTTGCCTAGAATTAAGATTTTTGTAACATATCTTGTCTGTTACATCATGTGTGTCGCTGTGAATGCAAATGATGACATGACGTGGCGATACATGTCACAAAAGTAGCGTGTCAGCACGGCATGACATCATAACAGCAACATGACGTCATAACGCATAATGTCAAAAAATAAGCATGTCATGAAGTCATTACGGCAAATAATAGAAAAGTCACGAAATTAGAGTTGCCTTATGTACAATGTCACCAAAGCTATCAGTTCTCCGTCACGTTGGTGCATGTCTGGATTGTCACAAAACTATCAATTCTTCGTCACGTTGTTGTCTATATTCTGTACACACGAAAAATTCAGCGCCGTCCCAGCTTCAGAAGCTGGGGCGGTTTTAAATCTTCTTTACGTAAAAGATACAGGAAGACGTTGGTGTTTTTACGACGCGTTTGGTACGCTTTACTCACCCTCGCAATGGGGCCGGCACTGTGTTTGTTGACCAGCGATTTCAACTTCGATTCCGGTCTTTTTAAGACAGTTTCTTCCTTGGTTTGGCCGTCTTCTTCTCCTGTTATTCGGACGGTTGGAGTTGGGAAGAATTTCAAGCACTTAAATGAAACAGAATTTACTGTGAAATATTCTTGATATTTCAATACCACTACTTTTTTATTATGAATTGTTAATTCATCAAACCTTTTGCTTTTTCTTAACTTTATTATAATACTTGGATATGAAGAAGTTATTCGAACTCGACATCAATTCAACGAATTTCAAAACGGTTATCCAAAACCATAAGATGTGAAGCAATCCCGGATTTGTTTCGCTCTATTGCGACTTATAATAATCTGGCAAATACGCATTAAAATATATGATATATGCGTGGTGCCAATTAATATAAATGATAAATAGACAACATAAAAAATTATTTCCTGACCTTCTCTTCCGAAAATATTCTTCCATTTCCTCGGACCGTTCGTTTCACAGACGTTGTTCATTCTCGCCGGAGGCATTTTTACTACCTGCGAAGAATTTTTCATAAAAAAATGAATGTGTTAGTTTAATAATAATAAAAAACTCCTCTCGTCGCTCGATACGGCATAAATATAATATCCAGATGTTCTGCTCGCTGCTCAATTCAACAGATGAAAATGTCAATAAGCTCTGCTCATGGCACAAGTTCATTCAACGATAGTAGAAACATTTCCCTCTTCAGAGAATGTTATTCAAATAATCCCAGAAATTCGAATAACCCGTTTAAGACACGGCTCAAACTCAAGGAAAATTGAGCCAATATTGAAACCTTTTTTACGTTGCTGTTTTCATGCTTAATTTATGTTAAGCTAAAGTTAAGTAAGTTAATTTTTAATTTAAGTTTCCATAATTTAAGTTCCATAATTCCCATTTCGTAAGTTAAGCATAATTTATATTCTGCTTATATTTATGTGACAAATGTAATGCTTATAACCTTAAGGGCATCTGAAGAGGTAACGACGATCTCGCCCTCTTATACGTATATTATGCCGCAAATGTTCTGCGTATAACCTTAAGGGCATCTGAAGAGGTAGCTACAATCTCGCCCTCGAACTTCTCCTTGTCCGCGGCGCCCTTCTCCACATCCTTGGCCCCGGGGGCGGTCAGCAGCCCTCCGACGCCCTCACCGGAGAGCAGGTCTGGGGCGTCAGCACTGCTGGGCGTCGTCGGCTGCCCGGTCTTGTCCTTACGGAACCTGAGACCAGGGGCAGTGCCATCAGGAGTAGTTAAGTTAAATTAATAGTTAAGGTGATAGTTCCGTAACCCAGCGGCCGTGCCATCAGGAGTAGTTAAGTTAAATTAATAGTTAAGTTGATAGTTCCGTAACCCAGCGGCCGTGCCATCAGGAGTAGTTAAGTTAAATTAAGAGTTGAGTTGATAGTTTCGTAACCCAGGGGCGTGCCATCAGGAGTAGTTAAGTTAAATTATGAGTTAGGTTGACAGTTTCGTAACCCAGGGGCGTACTATCGAAAATAATAACGAGTTCACAACTCCGTCAGCCAATCACTGACGGCTTTTAGAGCTAAATCCACCAATCACAGACGTGAAATCGGACGCTACTGATACTTGGATCGCAACGTTTCCTAGAGGTGCCTGTACACGGGGATAGTACTGGCGGCAAGTAGATCTGGCAAATGCCAAATGTCTGCCGCTTGGTGTCTATCCCGCAAGTAAGCCGGTAACGACTAGATACCGGCACGGCGGCACCTTAAACTTGCCTTGTGTCTAAGCTTCCTTACATGATAGACACCAAGCGGCAGACATTTGGCATTTTTCTGATGTACTTGCCGCCAGTACTGTCCCCGTGTACAAGCACCTTTATGCCGCTACGTGTACTTGGCCACTCAGTGGACTTCGTGTACTTAGGCCGTAACTACTACTTACGACGCTACTTTATCTACTGCTACTGAGAGCGGTCACATCTACCACTACCTGGGATGGTCACATCTACCACTACGTGGGATGGTCATATCTACCACTACCTTTAGCGTAGATATTCATATCTACTTGCTTTCCACATTAGATAATTTTTTTCAACGTTGGTTCAACGTCACATTACTGGTTGGAACGTATTTGAAGTTTCCCTATTGCTGGACGAAAGAGCATCACGCAAGAATTTCACTCTAAATAAGATCAGATGAGATAAAATTTTCTATTTACATTCTGATTTTAGTAAACAGTTGTCTCTACAAATATTTATGTTTTCTTAATTTAGTTCGTAATGGGTGAGCTTGAAGTTTGATATTGAAATTAGTGTGATTAAAATAATTGCCATAATATCAAGTAATTAATTGTCAATCTCTATACTAAATAGCACAACACAATATAGTAGGTACATAAATGTAACATGGTACGCACCATGAGTGAAATTTAACTTTTCAAAATGTATGAATAGTTCAAATGTAATCCATGAGCGTATTCATTTCAAGAAGTCATTAACGCGATCGCTACAATGACGTAACCAATATCAAATAAAAAGATATGAAAACACACAAGCATTAGAATGAAGATACTAGAAAATTTATAATATTAATGCCAATAACAATACCATACAAGTCTCATTTTGCGCATAAAGAATGAAGATACTCAATAAGTTAATATTTTCATGCAAAACAAGAATAAGACAAGTGACATAGTGAGTGACAGAAAATGATACATAATGATCAAGTCATGCAGATAATACAAAACTACACATAGGTGAAGAAAAAATAAAGTATACAGAATGAATGGGCGAACACAGAAAGCAGTGCTCGGCAATGCAATGTTAATGAAGACCAACGACTAGAGAAATCAACACACATGCAAGAACACAAGGAATTAAACACAAGCATATACAAAAAAACATCACACATGCAGGTACAAAAAGTAAACGCAAACGCATGTACACAAAGCATTAAACATAGTGAATACACAGACCACACAAAAATACACTAGATTAAAAAAAATCACACAGGCCACATGCACGACCTCGATTCCACACAATTCTGCTTCTGTGCAATCCGCGGCCTAAACCTATACTAAACTAAATTAGGTTCCTCATCAAAACAAAAATGGGCAGACTTTTTTTTATTCTGCACGGTAACTGCCTTTGAACCTTCCGGGCACAAATAAATCAGGTAGCCGTAAGTTCTAAGATCTTCTGGACCTTCACGTTGGTCTGTGATCTGAAAGCTTAGATTCTAATTTGGTTACAAAATTGGCAACGTATTTAGGTATTTGTCCTTGTCTGGAGCGAGATGCCGACCTTGTTAATTAGGTTTTTAGGTTCAGCCAAGGTGCCCAAATAAAGGCATATTATAACAAAAGACATTTGGAATATATTTGTATGCGTTCGTATTTGGTCACAGAAATTGCAGCTTGTGGGAAAAACAAGAAGGCGAATAGCAAAAAATGTTTCACATATGGTAAATTGAAATAATCATATTTTTTAATTTTGGCTTCAGTCGAGGTTAATTTCAGGTGCTCAGTTCAGCTTGAATCTGAAACACAATCTTTATGCAAGAATGATGTGTTATTATTCAGACTACATGATTTAGTTCTTCAATTTTCATCTTAGATTCGCAGCTTTGATCAAAAGTAAACCTGGTGTGATATTGTTGAGAAATAGCTAAGATCATGATTATATTTAGAGTGTCATCTCAAAAAAAATCATTTATACAACAAACAAACAACATTTTGGATACTTCATGAATTAATCATTTATAGCTTTACAAACGTATTCCTGTGGCAAACAATTTGGTTTATTAGATTTTCGTTGCTGTCAAGTCAATTTATTAAAAATGTAATTTCTTATGACATATTTTGCAGATCTCCGAAAATTATAATAAAAACTATTTACTGAAAAATAACATTTCTAGAAAATCTTAAAATCAAGTTTCCATTTTTCGGTTCAGTTTGTTTCGGAAAACGCTTGAAAAAAACTGTTGATTGAAAAATTAGACTTATTGCCTATAAAGGAAAAATTTATATATTCAAAATTGAGTAAAGAACACAGTGCATTAGGTTCCATCGAGAGAAGTTTGGAAAAGTAAACTAAAGGGCGTAAGGTACTATACAGAATTCCAGAAAAGATCTACCTTTATCATCTACAAATTTTAAAAGTTTATTGAGACATCGAGAGAGATGGCAGGTGTTTTACATTAATAAAATTAGTTACAAGGATGTTTAGGAAAGCAGTGAGCTCCTTTATTTTAGTTGAATTTGTACTGGTATGATCGATAAGTTAATAAGGGTCGCTATAATAAAGGGACCATAGAGAGATTGGATTGAATTAGAACACTCGTAATTAGTTACTTGGTTAAGAGCTCCGCTACATTCCGGCCGCGCTTTCCTCGCCAGCTTCGCCTATGTTGAACAGTGGAAATTCAGGTCATCCAAAATAATATAATCCGCTATTAGTAGAGCTTTATTATTGCGAAACTAATTATTGTCTTGTTCGCTATCACAAGAAATGTCTATACAGTGGAAACGAAAGTTTTTCAGGACGTCGCTATAAATTCTTGGACGAGACTTTGCGATGAAAGTTTAGGAGCTTCCGATTAATTACAATAATTATAAGGGAATTACGGGTTTTATTCCAAATTTTTATATTGAACTTTCATTTTTATTATGCAAGTTAATTAAAGCATGTGAATTAATTAGTCGAGTCGAGTCGTGATTATCATGAATCACATTAGTAAAATAAGCCATAGGCGTCGAGCAAGATTGTTATTTTGCTTCAGTTTAAGCATTCATGCTATAATGTTTGCTAGGGACATGCAGAGTATCTTTTATATTTTTGAATAACGTGAGGTATGGTTGTAATTGGTCGTCCTGCCTGGATACTAGGTTATGTATGAACGCTAAAAGACACAATTCATATAGGTATATAAAATGATTTATCATTGTTATTGTGTTAAAAATACAGTTTTGGGGATATGAATAATTATTTATAGAAGGTCCAAATGTTTCATGAATTCAGTTGCAATTCAGATATATTATCGATTTTTCACCAATAAAACGTGGTATCAGCACTGACTTAAAATTATTCATGATTATTAAGATGCCAATATTATCTTATCCCAGATGTGATAGAATCTTCTTATGTATTTCCTACTAATGTATGACCGTCATGATGTGAAGAAGTGAAATAGTACAATTTTTATGATGATAGAAAGGTGATTTGTACATGAACGAATATAATTGTTATGATAATAGAATGGTGATTTATACATGAACAAATTTAATTATTATGACAATAGAATGGTAGTTTGTACTTGAACGAATAGAATTGTTATGATAACAGAATGGTGTTTTGTACATCAACGAATAAAATTGTTATAATAATAGAATAATGGTTTGTACACATAAGAATAGAATTGTTATGACAGTATGGTTGCTGGTGCAGGCTGTAATCTCGTCATGTAGAAGCATCGCCTGCGATTTCACTGATGCAGGAAATGAAACGGTTCAATGAAATGAACCACATTTTAAATATGCAGCGGAAATGCTGCAAGACAACCTTCTAATTTTACTTTAAATAACTAAATGAATTTGGTTTCATCGTAATAGTTTTTAAAGTGTTATCTATACGTCTGCGATTGATGGTTATTTATAAGATGAAGAAAACCCAAAAATAGAAATAACTGAAAAATCAATCTTGGTTCTACAAAGTGAACGGACTATATAGAGGAAGCCATTTTTATTTTAAGGGGACCTGCTACCTTAAATTGGAGGTAGCCTATAACTCCTACAGTTATTATCCGATCATCATGAAACTTCACATACATACGTAAAATGTAAAAATAATAACATTTTACTTCTATGAATTTTTCGAAAAAATCGATAGAAAACGTGATATTCATAGAAAACGGACAAATAACGGGTACTATAGAAAATCTATCTCCCCCCACAAATATCGTCCGACAATATCGAGACACATATCATTAAATTTGTAAAGACCATACCTATCAACTCTACCATCACTTTTTTCATTTTCCCCATAGCTTTTTTTTTATGCGCGTTTTTCTCATTTTTTCACTTTTTTTACCCCCTCCCCCCCTTCTCCCCCATATATTAGACGAACCATGCACAAATTAAAAAAAAGCGATGGCTAGGTCAATAGATATGGTCTTTACGAATTGAATGATATAACTCTCATTGCTGTAGCTTGAAAACTGTATGAGGGTTTTCCGTGACAATAAGTTGAACTTTTCAGGACGGCTCGACAAAGTCCCGTGCGCCTTGAAATAGGCACTCAATGTAGCATGGATACCAAACTACAGGCTTCTGTAGCTTAATCCACTCAAGGATGCTAGCAGCAACTTGTATCGCACCTCTACGTACAATGTTAGGAGGGTAACTGAGCTCAGATGCCAGATACACCAAGATATGTAGTCTTGCCGCTGTAATTTTCTTAGGTCTATTTAGTTAAGGAACTCCACCCCCCGCCCCCCATTAAAGCCCGGCCATCTGCGTCAATATTGCCGTACATGGATCGCAGTAGCATCGTTGGAAAGCTCAGAATGTCAGCTTTAAGATGAGACTAAGCATGTAACTGCAGCACAACTCAAGTAGAAACTATATTCAAAGATTTCAGCAGCTAATTACTTTATATCTAATTACTTAAAGAACTCTCCCACCCGCTTCCCTTTAAAGAGACGTCATGAACGTAAATATTGGCGTACAGCAATGGCAGTGGTACCATTGGAAAGAGCAGAATTCCACCTTTCAGATGAGCACAAAAACCGAAAAACGCCAAAATTGAAAATTTTAGGGTAGCAGGTCCCCTTAATATACATAAGTTGTAAAATCTTATGAGAAAAAGTTGGGGTGCAGTATTTTGGGTGAGGGGTGAACAAAGTTTTGAAGAAATTAAATGCATAGGTTAATTAGGTTAATTTAGGAAATAAAAGGTTGTTAGAGGAGCAAATTTAGAATATACTGAAATAATTTAGGGGAAATTACCAGGAAATTTAGTTCCAGGTAAATCCAGCGCAATTAAGTAAATGATATATCAAATATAAGACAAATAAAGTGAAGGGGAAGTGGTGCCGCCGGTTATCAGTCGTGATGGCGGCCGAATTCAGTATAACTTATTTAGGTTATGAAGGAAAGTAAACGATGGAGGGATGGTGTTAGGGAAATAAATTATGCAGCTATGACTGCTCTACCTTAATTAAACCAATACTAGTCAAAGAAAGTCTGTAGTTAGATAATTATCACTCATTGGCTCAGTTCCACAATATGAATCGGAATGAACTTCCAACAGCTGAAAAATATAACTCAGTACTCACAACAGTGAGTGACAGAGAGCGCATTTTCTCGTCGACGAAAACGTGGTCACGGACGGACAGACGGACGGACATGACGAGCACAATAGCGCCTTTTTTCCATAAATGAGAAAATGCGCTAAAAATAATTGACTTTTAAAGAAGTAGACGTGAAAAAAAAAACTAAATTAGTCGTCGATTTGGCATTTGCGGTAAAAAGTCCTACTCTGAAGATGGCAAATTTTTATATTCTCCTATAAAACCTTATTAATAATGCGTATTGAAAATGAAATAAAGAAAAATGTAAGCCAAGACAGGGTAGACTTGTCCTGCGTGTAGTTCTTCTTCAGCAGTTCTGGGAGTAACATGTAAACTGGACCAGTATCGTCCATGAGTGGAGAAGCTGAGACCACGAGAAAGGTTTACCGAAAAACAAACTTCATTGTTACTGAGATTCTTCAAAATTATATATCCGTGCATTAGATGTATCAGTTATAATGCGACTTCATCAATATGAAGTACTATATTTGTTGTCTCTGCCGTGTTAATGATTAAAATTGTGGTTTGCCTTTTTTTAATTTTGCATTTTGATATCTCGCACTTGAAATGGAAAGCATAAATTCCTAAAATAGTGTTCAAAATGTACGAAGATATAAGTTTTTGATTGTGTATTAAAGAATCGCTGTAATACTTGATGATTTTCAAATCTTGCATTTTTTTCAATTTTAATTTTTGAAATAAACAAACACAGCCATAGTCGCAAGATAAAATTCAACAGGATTCATGAATTCTCGTGGTTTCAGCGTCAACAATGAAGGCGAATGTTGCTCGTTGCAACGGGAAGATCCATAGAAGTTAGTGAGAAGAAGGATAACTCTGGCACAGTTTACCTCAAATTGCGACACCCGACGCTGGATGGCAACATCGCAGAAGTTGAATGGGAAGGAACGAGTCAACGTGGCATAAATTTGATGAAAGGTATGATTTGGAACATGACAAGCGGATTATCGGTGGCCACTGAAATGCCACCGATTATCTGATCATAATTTTCCAAGGAGTTGGATTATTAGAACTACGTACCGCAACAGGGTTGAACTTTTTGCGAACAATGAATATTCGTGTAGATTTGAATACAATTCTTTTATTCAGAGGTCATGCTTGCATGGGGAGGGCATATCCTGACGATAAAGAAATTAAAAGATTTATGATATAATAACCTCGAATTTTAAAATGATAAATGATCCTAGATTGTAAACATCACAAAGATGCTGATGTAATAAAGCTGCAAGTGTTAGAGCAGTTCGTTACATGCTGTTTGGTGATTGGCTGAATTGATTAACGATTTTTTAAATATTTGTAAATAAGTTGATGTCTCCTACTACATTAGTACTGGGGCAAAGGCGCCCTGTCCGTTCTCTGGGCACTATGGTAATTTCGAAATACTCCCTTATTAAAAAATACAATACAAAGATAGAAATTAAAAGTATTATTTTTTATTGAATTGAAGTTTTAACGTTGATTTTTTGATCGATGCAGCATTCTTTTTTTAATATTTTTGCATTCGTCGTAGTTGGGGCAGATTATCTAACACCACAAATCTCACATTAAAATGGCTGCATTTATCTGTTTAGTTGAAAATTTGTTAAAATGTTCACTTATATCACGATTACTTCATTCGTTGAAGTCTTTGAACTCGATTCAATCAATTCATATTTCGATCCAAGGCCATAATCTCACATTTGCCTTCTACAATGAAGCGATGATTGCGTTCATATGATAACATTGAAAGCAGAAAAAAAAACAAGAAACAGACACACCGAAAGCAGCGACGATCAGACAACAGTAAGCGCGAACAATGCTTAGTCTAATTTAGATCTAATTATTTCAAACAAGTTTGTAGCCAAAGCCAAACACCGATCATTGAAACACACAGAGCAAAAAACGCCCCAAAATTGGCTGAGCTTGTTGTTTGCAATTCGAACGAAGATTTTCTTGAAAAGAATATTCTATAAATGAAAACTGTAGCTAAATTCAGCGAAAAATATATAATTTACACATAGTTTTCAGGTAATTTTGGAACTTTTTTCCTCGATTTTAACCTACAATTGACCCTCTATCGGGCGTATCCTATGTCGCTATATATTCAAATATTCAAATCAACTTTGATTAAATTTTTTTATAAAAGAGTTCTAAGTTTAGAGTTTCGTAATGAATGATTAATTTTCATTGCTAACAAAATGTTTTTATTTTGGTTTTGATTTCCCGATAAAGGGTTAGAGGGATACCACGACACAGTGGAACAAGGGGGACCAAACGGAAGGGGGTTTAGCGGGGCGAAAAAAATATAAATATTATTACAAAAATAAAAATATATGGATGCACCAGAGTAAATCGTAAGGACTCATGAAATATAGTTTTTTGTGGTACAAAAGTCTCATGTGATATTTTTCTTATATATTTTGCATGGCAGCCGCGCATGCGTTCACAAGATATTTCTAGGAACCACCGGTGAGATTCACCACAAAACTCGATGTGATGGAGTGCAAATATTGTTGGGCTCATTTTGCAGTTCAGTGAGCCGCTCGAATGTGATAGTTTATGTGGGCACACAAGTACGTGATTCTTGCCAAAACTTGTGAACAAATTTATTTTATTTTCAAATGAAATGTGTCAACATAAGTGGCGCTTTACATATAAGAAGTGGTGCGATATCTTCAGGTTGCAAAATCATTACGTTACAATAACATCACCTTTCAAAATCATTACGTTACAATAGCATCACGTCATCAGCACGTTATCACCACGATATCTTCACGTTATCATCACGTTATCATCACGTAATCATCACGATATCATCACGACATCATACCTGGAGAAGATCTTCCTGACGAGATGGTCGTTGCTGAGCTCAGGCTGAGGATCGTTCTTGCGGCGCTCAGCGAGCTCCTTCTCGCGCTTCATGTCGCTCACCTTACGGAATATTAACTGCCAGAGAGAATAAAGCTCATATAAGATGGTTATTATTATAATAATACATAATATTTGTAATGTGTTTAAAATTTGCGTAAAATAAAATAATAATGATTTTTTTTTCAAATTGATTCCATCTACATTATACTGTGAGGTTGAAGAACAAACGCAAAAGTCCGATGAACGACTAATCATTTTAGTCCCATTATCACTTTCAGCTATAAAAGTTTAAATATTTATTAATTCAAGACAAATACTCAATCCGTTTCAGCGTCTTCTGTGATACAGTAATATAAATATTATTATAAAGGATGATTTTTCAATTTTTCATGTTAACAAATCGAATTAAATTGAAATATTTCAGTAACCGTTATTTCGTTGACACCAGGCATTTACTATAAAATTATCCACACATAGGACTTTTCACCTAATCAAAAACATATTTTTTACTTATAATCATCATTTCAAAGATCCTATTCATCACTTTGTCACATAATCAAAAATATAATTTTACCGTCGGTCATGCACTCTGATTCTTATTTAAAACATAATCAAAAGTATATATTTTTGTTCATTGAGGATGGCCGCAAACTCTCATCCTAATTTCATCACAGAATAAAGAATACTTATTTTTTATCTATGATGGTCACTCACCCTGTTCCTGAGGTTGTAGGTAAGCACCAGGTTCCTGGCGAAGGAGTTAGCGAAGGCGTGGTAGAAGTCCAGTACTTCAAGGAGCTTCTCGCGCTTGATGGCGTGAAGGTCGCAATACGTAAGCGCCCGCACGTTTGCCGCACTCTGTCCCACCGTGGGACTCTTCCAGAACGTATCACCGAAGACGTCTCCTTTACCCAATATGGCGACGACCTCGTCGTCCTGGATCACTTCCAGCGATCCCGTCACGATGAAGCTCAGGATGTCTAGGGACTCTCCCGTATGGAACAGGAGATCTCCTGGAAATACGAACGTTTTAAACGTTACGAAATGTAAAGTAAACAAAGACCTACGGAAAATATGGACGTTAAAACTGAAGCGAAATGTAAAGTAAACAGAGAGCTACGGAAAATACGGACGTTAAAATCGAAACGAAATGTATAGTAAACAGAGATCTACGGAAAATACGGACGTTAGAAACCGATACGAAATGTGAAGCAAACAAAAGTAAACTACATAACTGACCTGGTGCCGAGTGACTCATGGTGAAGTGCATGGCGAGGGCACGAAGGCAGCCGTCCGAGGCTAGTCTGAAGGCCGGGTGCTCGTTGAAGACTTTCCTGTTGAGGTGCACACAAATGTCCGCCTTCATGTCCTTCGGGCAGTAGTTCAGCACCTGAAAGTGGCGGACAACCGCTTCATGGACTGCCGTAAGAAAATATCTAACTTTAGGTTTGAATTAGATTTTAATTGAAGTTTGGATTAGATTTTATTTAAGGTTTTAATAAGGTTATTTAAGGTTTTGTAATAAGAATTTGCGCGAGGTTTGAATTTGAATTTCATTATGGTTTGAAGTATTATTTAATTGATGTTTGAATTAAAATTTCATTGTGATTTGAATTATTATTACTTGAGGTTTGAATTTAAGCGACGTTTCAATTTGAATTTCATAGTGGTTTGTATTATTATCTAATGAACTACAATTTCAGCGAGGTTTGAATTTGAATTTCATTGTGGTGGCACTAGATTTTAATTGAGGTTTGAATTAGAATTTATATCGGGTGGAATTTACTTGTGGTTTAAATTACAATTTAATTGAGGCAGAAGTTACTTGAGGTTCATTATCATATTATCTCACCTCCATTTTTTGCAAAATCACGACTATATAAACACCTTAATAATGAATCAACGTTTGGGAATTTTGGAACCCGATTGTTTAATTTATTCTTAGTCCTCCTTTTTAAAAATGCTAGACATTTTTAATTATAATTCGATATCGTGAGCTAGGTTGTTGAACTTATGGCTGAGAATTTCAATTGATTACGCGGTTAATTGTCTTCAAAAGTGTTTAACAATTAAGTTTTTACGATAAAAGAAAAATATCCATTAGTCGTATTTAATTAATCATAGTCAATGATGAAGTATCTATACTAAAATTGAGGCAATTTCAAGCTGTCATTTGCTCCTAAGCTTGTTTCCCTTAATATGTACCATTAGTGCTGTAAATTATTATTTAGAATATAAATGTAACTCAAGTAACTTTGAATGCACAAACACTATTGGTTAGCTTATGCTGTTTCAGAGATTTTGTGTGGTAAAGTAGCTACGAGGTTTCTTCAACGGTAATGCAACGAATGTTTGTAATTAAAGTTTTTTATCATTGAACAATTCAGGCGTTGCTCTGAACAACGTACAGCCCGTGAAAGTTTTTGTGGATACGCAAGTGCGTGGTTCTTGCCAAAGCATGTGAACAAATTTAATTTATTTTCAAATGAATCGTGTCCAAATTATGATATTCAGAAAAGTTTTAGCCATAATGATATTCAGTGAAAATTTGCCATAGAGGCTGATGCAGCTGGAAATATTTGTGAATAATTTCAGTTAAAAAATAGTTATTCATAGGGTAAAACACTCAATTAAAAATACAAACGTGAACGTGCATATGTTATGGCTCATTTTCCTAACATTTATTGAAAAACAGTGAGATAAAAATGTATATTTGAATCAAATTCAAGACTTCAAGCTTGATTTAAACTCAAGCTACTCACTCGGAACTACAAATAAAATGCCAGCCTGAATACTTACTTCCTTCCCAACGAAAATGCAGAAAGTTAAATAAATAAAAATTCCTCAGTTAGAAGTGGGTTTCGACTGCGAAAATATATATAATTTTATGCAATACTGAGCTACAAGCGTTTTGAAAATACAAATAAAAATTTTTGACGCTGAAAAAGTTCAAGATGTCATAGCGAAGGCACAGAGAAGGTCTTAGAGAGACACGTTAAAATCAGCGGGAAAATTTTTTTTTAATAGCAAATTTTAAAGAAAAAGGCGCATTGCGCATTAAATTTTTACAACTATGATGCGTCCTTTAAACAACAAGCGTACGATGTTCATTGAATGCATTGATGCGTCCTTTAAACATTGTTTAAGCATTGAATTTACGATGTGCACTGAATGCACTGATGTTTCTTTAAAATTTTCAATGTTTGATAAAATTTAAAATTTAATATTTATTTATTTAAAAAATTTATCATCATACAAAATATGATGTGATCACTTTACTTGTCAAATGACAATAAAAATCGTCATTGAAAAGTTCTCATATGAATTTCGGAACTTAAATTAAATCAGCTTTTGCATTATTTCTCTTTGCAGCCATGGTATAGTCAAAATTGATCTGTACCTGCATAATTTAATAGTTTGAATCATGCAGATGAAGCCGTTGTGTCCAATACAAGTGAAAAGCGTGCGCTGTCGCTCCCTATGGTATGCGCTCTGAACTTAGCATATAATATGAGCATGAATAACGAATGCTCTCAACATAACAAGCGATCAGAGCAAAACAAAATATTTGGGCTTTACAAGCGCTCTGAACTTTTAACTAATGCACCACTTGTCATCAAAAGTTTATTTAAGTAAGAAGCACCTATTATATATTAAATAATTAAGATGCGCCAATAGCAATGACTTGAGTGAACAGATCAAGGAATGCAAAAACAAATGAACGGAAAAATAAAATATGAATAATAATTGTGGGTTTGCTGGCAAAGTCATTTGAAGACAGGAATACTTTCCTACGATTATACTTCGACGGAAAAAATTAATAAAAAGTGTCTCTTTCTCATTCAAACGCTCCAATGCGGTTGGAAGAAAATAGACTTTTCTGAAGTGTTAAAGTATTGTAATTTCTTTGAAAGTAATCAAGATGTAAAACCTGGAAAATGGCAAAAATCGCACAAACCAACTTTTGGTGCATAGGTAATTTGTGCAAAGCAAGGTCAAAACGTAAAAAATGCTAATTGTATATTCCTGCAGTAATAGTGTAGAAAATATTCTGATGAAGATAGATGGTATCTTTTATCTATAAAGGGAAATATTGACTTGAAAAGCATGTTTCTGTGAATCTTGTATCATTTTTATGATATCCATACATTTTATTCTATTACATTAATGTAACTTTGAAGATGCCTCTTACTTGGTAATAGTTGGTATGATTTAAATTTGGATTGAGCGCAGTGCAGTGAACCAATATATGAACTCGTACAGATGGAGCAGCGTTCTTTCAATTCCTAGGGTTTTTTAATCACAATTGTCTGTGGTGAACACACTTATTCCTTAATTATTCACCAATAATTCTGTGTCAATGAACAAAGATTGGAAAAATTAGTGCCGTGTACCAATAACAACATTAGGAAAATCCCTAGCGGAAGTGCGCAAAAAATAGGTCATTCCAATATTAAAAAAATATAATGAATAAGTGCAGGTAAAAACATTGATTGGAAAACAGAATATAAATTAAGAAAAGAGAAGGCAGCAATTCAATATACCAGATTATATACAAAAATAAATCAGCGTGACGTTTCCAACTATCAACTCAACTTCAACAGTGAGCAAGAAAAAGCTTTAGAAATTCAGTAGCAAGATTTCGAGAAATATGAAGAGGACAAAACCACGATCACAAACTCAGCATTAAGATTAAATATGGTTAAATAAAACTGCAGCTTTTCACTTTGCATTGACGTTGCCCGGCGCCACCGTTCGTATGTACCTCATTCTCTACCTTGTTGGTGTCTATTCCTTTGGTCATGGCCCACGTAGATACCACATAATCCATGACCCGTTCCGACAGCGCTTTGGGCACCTCGTGTAGCTTCATAAACTCTCGTACGTTGTTAAGCATCTCGTGATACTTGGCTGTGGCTGATGTCATCTGCTGGATGATGGTCGTCACGTGGCCAAAGATCGTCGCGTACAACAGCGCTGCAAGACGGACATATTTTGTATATTATCATTTTATCATCATGCTTTTAATATTAACACCTTGCAATATCATTGGCTCGTAACCTTACTACACCGCTGTGTGCTGCCACAATAATTATTATTGTACGTAAAGTATTCATTACTAATTTTATTTTAGTGAGACTAAAAATTCGCAGTGAATGTTTCACACACATTGTTGGAGAGATATAACGAAATTTCATTAAAAGTTGTTGTAGTAGCTAGTTTAATTGTTATGCAATAAGTTAAACTTTTATCAGAGCATTTGAAAATAAATAGTTACACTCAATTTATCTCTGTATCGGTATCATAATTTAACACGTTGACTCCGAAGTGTGCATGATAAATTCAATATAGTACAAAATATGAAGTAATAGTACAAGATGAAGCGATATGAGTCAATGTGTGAAATGTCAGGAAAACTGTCCCGAAATTAGGTAAATAAAAGTTTCGTTAAAGACACCCATTGCAGCATCAAAAATATAGTTCACACTAATCATATGAATTTGACGATGCAGTGACTAGCATGATTCAACATAGATTATTCAACAAACATTGTTCAATAGACATCGTTCACCAGAATCACAAAACAGTTATCATGCAAATACATGATTTACTTCTCACCTGCAATGATCATCATGCAGATGGTAAAGATTTTCTCGTTATCAGTCTCGGCAGCGACGTTACCGAAGCCAACAGACGTCATGCACGTCATCGTGAAGTACAACGACGTTAAGTACATCGTCTTCTTGCTCGGTCCGTCCGTGAGCTCGAACGTCGAATTGTTGTAGCTGAACGGCGTCTGTGTGATGTTCGCGAGCTTCCAAAGCCACGAATATTGGATGCCGTTGTTTGCATCGCTATTACCTTGCCAATGAAAACATAATTAAATTAAACACTCTGTTGATTATGCATTATAACAATGGTCTTTATGAAGGGAATTTTATTTTTTTATTTTTTTTGGCGAGCTTTCATACAGCCAGGAATTTTGCATGCCATTGTCTGCATCGCTTTTGCTTTGCCAATAAAATAGCTTTCAATGCAATGCTTTGGTGGTCATGTATTATTACCTCTGATACAGGTGATGGTATTGATTTTTTTATTCGATATGATTTGGCTGCCGGATGAATATATATAATAATATATCGAAAGATATGCAAGGTACTGAGTTATCTTACAGAGGTATGGACCATACCGAGTTATAGTTTCGTAGTCACAGTTCATTCCTGTTCGCCAGAATTCAGCCGAATTTTGTCGAATTTTATGAATTTTCTAGACTTTTTCATTAATGAGAAACAATTGCAGTCCTGAGCTCCAAATTTACTAAAAACTTCACCTAATTATGTTCAAAACTAGTGAGAAATGCGCTCCTAAAATCCTTTGTTCTTAGTTACGATGCAATGGTTTCATTGAATAAGGTTATTGAAGCTTAATAAATTCACCACACATTGACTATGAAGTCAATGACTACGAAGTCAAAGCTAATGAACTTGTTCAGAAATTTAAACAAGAAGCTATTAGGAAGAAATATTATACTAATGGAATGGTTATTTTGAAGACGAGTTATTCACTCAAACCCAAAACAAGAACAAACCTTATTAAACAATAATTAAAAATCCAAGTTGAAACAAATGGTTGCTATTGAAAATAAATAACTCGCACATACGCAACATAAAAGCAAATAGGCACAACCATTATAAATAATAGATACAATCCTTGTTGAAAAAACTATTATTGAAGATTATTAATGAGTTCTGACCTATGCTGTACCAGATGCAGGCAAGCCAGTGAGCCACAAGCATGTAGAAGCACAGCAGCAAGAACAGCATCGCTGCGCCGTACTCGAGGTAGCGGTCCAGCTTGCGTACCACGCGGCCGAGTCTTAGCAACCGCACCACCTTCAGGGCTGAGAACAGAGAACCTATCCCCTGTAGTGCGTGCACCAGCGGGACCACACGCAGGGAGGGTTGTGGGTATTGTGAGGGTGGGTATTGTGAGGGTAGGTATTGTGAGTAATGTAGTAACAATGGTGGCTCGTGCAAATGATGGTTGATGGCAGGAAACATAAATTGTAGTGGGATGAAAAATTTTGTTTTTAGAAAGTGTAGGAATGTGTTTGTGGTTTTGTACAGATGGTTGTTGAAGGTAAGCAGTGAAAATTGTTTTTCAGTTTAAAATCGTAATTATGAAGAACGATAGTGGAGAGATGCTGACACGGGAAAAAATGGGAGTGAAAAATAAATATTTGAACTTGGAGCAGGTTAACGAACAGCAAGTGAACAAGTTAATAAAGTTTTTATAAAAACGAATGAATGCGTGCATGAACGAAAGTTTTAATGAAAAGTAATAATAAATCCAATAATATCCAATAAATAAATCCAATAAAGGTATAATAAATCCATGTAGAGAAAGGAGCAGCAGCATGGAAGAGAAATCGTAAAAAAACATTAAAGTTCTAGTGGTAAATCAGGTAAAATTTTCAGCTCAACACTTCATAGTCGAAATTTAGGTTCATTCTACATATATATTATGTTTATATAACCATTATAGATGTTGCACTTTTATGATATTCCACAGAGACATATGTTCCGTATAGTCAAATTTTATAATGTGTATAATGATTTCAAGTGCACACTTCACACTTTCATAAAATGTTATTTGTGCTAGCAAAACAATCCATGGATTAATTTGATTCCCAGTGATATAGATAAAACAATTTATTACCTACCCTACAAAAATATACACGCTTCGACCAATAACAGGGCACTCTCATTCAACCAATAAAACAGCCGACATAAAAGAAATAAAAATACAATAAAACAGCTCACACGTTGGCCCGCGGATATACACTGAGGTGTAAGACATACCGTGCAACCATAAAGAAAATCAAAATACGTAGTGACTCGTACAGAAGACAAAAGGTCTTCTCTGGATAAGACTGTGCTGCGAAACTCCCGTTGATTAGATATAAGTGTTATTAGTCAACCACTGCTTTCATGCATTGTAGAGTCAATTTAAGTAAGATACTTTTGGGCCTAAAATCTTCAAATTCATCGTAAATATCTGTGATATTAAAACTCTTATGGCTATGAAATCTGTAGGGTCATTGTAAGTACCACTTTTATTAAAACTATAACGGCTTTCAAATCATTTCAGTTCATCGTAATGATTTATTTGATTGAGACACTTTTCACAGATCACAGTCTCATTTTAATGCAGCTCACGGGCTTGCACGGTATCTTGTATCTTTATTTTAATGTTTTTCATGTTATCTTGAAAAAAATCTGAGCATAACTTAATTGAGACTAGCGTGGCGATTACGTCACTATGCAGAGATGATTCCCTTGTAAATTCCTCTGACGATAATGCGAAAGTCTTTTAAAAGTCTCCAGGTTACAGGAAGTTAATGCAAAGTCTTACGAAAAAATAGCGAGTGTTAAATTTAAAAGAAACCCACTCAATTTTAATAATCAGTGTCGAACCAATGTATTAGAGGGACATTCGAATTTGCCAGAGACTCACACGAAAAGATTAATAGGTCACTCGGATTTACCACGCTAATTAAGCTTGTAACTTACACTTTGGTAAGATTCCCCGTCGTTGCCGCAGTTACTTACATCTTCGTCGTGATCGAAGGCATTGAAGACGTCGTAAGGTAAGCACGACAACAAGTCTATCACGAACCACGACTTGAGGTAGTTCATACGTATGATTTTAGGGTCAGACACGACTTCGCCGCCGGGACCAACGAACGTTGTGTGGAAGTTCAATACGATATCAATAAAAAATATCACGTCCACTATTGAATCTACGACTAATAAAGAGACGTCTTCCGACGTCTTGTATCTGAAGGCGACGTTGTATGGAACCATGATCGCTGTGTAGAAAGTCAAGCATAGGATCACCCAGTCCCATATTGACTGCAAAAAAACACAGAATTCATATTAGGTTTAAAATTTTAGGATCTTTATAATCACACATGGTTCTTCGCACTTGATTTTAAAATAATTATTTTCTATAACTAAGGCTTAAGTCAAGCATAGGATCACGCAGTCCGGTATAGACTTAAACAAATTACGCGTTAGGTTTGCCATTTGAGGATTTTATAATCATACATAGTTCCAAGCAGATGGTTTTAAAAGTAGTATTATCTATGACCAAGGCTTGAGCTGAACCTCGGCCACATCAGTATAGGAGACTCCTTGAATAGAAAGGACGAGTTAATATAAATTTTGTAGAAAATTCTCAGATATAATGTGAGATAAAAAAACATTTTTTTCTTAATTTCCTCACATCTATTTATTATGAAATTAAAAATTCAATCAGGCCCACATATGAATATAGTTCACCATAAATCCAGCACACACATATTTATGCAGCACACATCACCACATATTTCTTCAATAGTGAAGCAATATATCACCTTGAAGGCACAATAGTGAAGCAATATATCACCTTGAAGGCACAATAGTGAAGCAATATATCACCTTGAAGGCACAATAGTGAAGCAATATATCACACCGAAGGCACAATAGTGAAGCAATATATCACCTTGAAGGCACAATAGTGAAGCAATATATCACCTTGAAGGCACAATAGTGAAGCAGTATATGGGGTGGAGTTTTGGGAGCCTCTTGTCGGTATTGCGGCATCACATCGCTGTTCAGACTCATCATCTGCACGTGAATACAACAATTAATATTCTTCTTAATGACTTATTTTAAAAAAGCTTCTCTTTTAATTCGAATTTAATCCCTTTAACAAATCAATATGATTTCCGGTATTAATATACATGAAATGATGTGAACACATATTGTTACTTCAGCTTGGGGTAATTAATTAGATTACTTCGTAATTCATATTCAGTTCAGTCTACTGCGTTGATACCTGATTGATTAAAAATTACCTACTAATCAATTGCAAATTGACGCTGAACTAATTCATGTTGAACTAATTGCATATAATGCGATATATTTTTTCAGTGAGAGTTACTAACATGCGCGATCTTAGGCTTATTGTATATACTTATTGACGTAATGATATTAAAATTAACGTAATGATATTATTATCGTTATTTACGTACTGATAAACTTTTTCAATACAGGTTACGTACATGTGCGATGTTGGACTGCTTGGTAACGTCTTTTATGACAGGCATATGCGACGAGAACTGAGACACTAGCACCGAGCGACTGCGCGTCACAGACCGAGCCAGCTTCGCGAACTTGCTGAGGGAGGCTGGAGGGTAGTGGTAGAGGTTAGTGGTTAGAGGGTAGTGGTAGAGGGTAGTGGTAGAGGGTAGTGGTAGAAGTTAGTGGTAGAGAGTATTGGTAGAGGTTAGTGGTAGAGGGTAGTGGTAGAGGGTAGTGGTAGAGGGTAGTGGTAGAGGGTAGTGGTAGAGGGTAGTGTAGAGGGTAGTGGTAGAGGGTAGTGGTAGAGGGTAGTGGTAGAGGTTAATGGTAGAGGGTAGTGGTAGAGGGTAGTGGTAGAGGTTAGTGGTAGAGGGTAGTGGCAGAGGGTAGTGGTAGAGGGTAGTGGTAGCGGGTAGTGGTAGCGGGTAGTGGTAGTTGTATGAACTGATAGAAATTAGTGGCAAATGGTAATGGCAGGGAAGGGAGAGGTTAGTGGCAGTGTTTTTAGGAGGTTAGAAACAAATAAAACGGCCGAGGTAACCTGTAAACAATATTATAAACATGAACCGATAATTTTTATTATGTAATATCAGAATTAAGAAGTAAAATATTTCTCAAGTAGGCCTGATGCAATTAAGAGGAGAATTAAATTGTAGTACGGAAGCAAATAGATGTACGAACATAGAATGTGGAAATTACAATTAAAGAGAACGAAAAATGGAAACAATATGATAATTCCTTGACAGCTATCTTTTTTTGTACAAATAGATAGAGTATATTGAATTGTTTGAATTAATTATATACGTTCGTATATGCAAAATTTATATCATTCCAAAGGAAGTGTGAATTTTTCTCGCAGTTTATGATAAAATAATTTTTTCCTCTATCAAATTTATAACATAAATAAAAGTATCCGAGATTCTGTAAAAAATACTTTTCGATTATTTATCTGTTTCATTTGGTGTATATTCTACATAATATTATTGAAGACGTGGTGAATAATGATGACATTAGGTGTTAAATACTTATTAAGAAGGAGGATAACAATTAAAAATTGATTATTAATTTGGAAAATCGAAAAATTGTACGATAACAAGTGGATTGATTTTCTCCATAGCAATGTTAACTGGCCAAAACAGTACAGTATATTGCAATGGAAAAATTTTTATAAACTCTATTGAAACTGATATTGGAAATTAAACTGAAACTGTTATTGAAACTTAATCTGAAACTGTTATTGAAACTGATACCGAAACTGATATTGAAACTGATACTGAAACTGTTATTGAAACATAAACTGAAACTATTATCGAAACTTAAACTGAAGCTATTATTGAAAATTAAACTTAAATTGTTATTTAAACTTAATTTGAAACTGGTATTGAAAATTAAACAGAAGCTGTTATAGAAACTGATATTGTGCATGCTATTGAAAAAGATTTTGTAACCGCTATTGAAATTGATATTGAAACTGTCGTTGAAACTGACAGTTGATTTCTCTCTGTTCTGCATGCTCCTACAGCACGAACGTTATTAGTGAACGATCATTTGATTTAACAGACTGTATGACACTTAAGTTTATTAACTAAAAAATATACCTAAATTCTATCACTTATTTACTACTTATACCACATCAAACATCTACCGATAATCTACCATTTATTTACCACGTATACCACATCAAACATCTACCGATAATCTACCATTTATTTACCACGCATACCACATCAAACATCTACCGATAATCTACCACTCATTAACCACTATACGGATGCCAAGAACAAATTTTAACACTGAGGGTTACAAGCAGAAATACACAGGAATAAATACAAAGCTATAATAAATGCTGCAAAAATTAGTATTGCAAGCTGACATTCTCCACAGCAAAATGTTTAATAAAAATTTCATGTTTCATAGTTTGTCATACAAAGGCAGCTGCGTAATCAATAAAATGGTTTAGAAATATCTAAATAAATGTCACTAAGGAACAGGCATATGAAGGAAAGAAGAATGCGATACAAAATATATTTATGGTACAACAAATCAGCCATAGCTAGCAGGCAAATTTTCAATGTCTAGAAGAAATATTACTCGGTTTCATAACACTGTGTTTTGTGCTGAAATAGCCAGCAATATCTCAGATTAAGTTTTCAATGTCGTTTTAAATTTCTAAAAATTTTACCTTCAGATTTTCGCTCAGCTCGTCTTTTTCTAATTGTTAAAATCAACTTTCCAAAACTTTTTTTAATTGATACTTTACTTCAATAATTGTTCAGTTCTAACCTGAATTTTTTGTTCAAGCGTCGATGTGTTCATTCAAGAACTTTTTTAAAAAAAGGTCTGTTCGTTCAGTTTCAGTTAATGAGTTGCAGGCATCACAAAACACGGCGCTATAAAAGCGGCGCAACATTAGCGGTTGCGTAAGTGGACGCTCCCGGCGATATTAAGTAGGAAAATTTGAATAATTTTCCTGTAGAAAATTATTAACATTTTCTGAATAAAGAAAAGATTTTCTAGTCATAGATTAAACTTTTTGAAAGCTCTCGAGTAACTCAGTAGTAATGAATAGGTTCCTAGCAGCGTAATCAAGAGAGTCGTCCATTTCTAGCATAATTGTTTCAAGTTATTTATTTCTTCAATAATAAATTGAAATAGCTTCAGCATATCAGATTTTTTTTATCTAGTCGATTCTAACATATTTGAGCAGACTAGGTTCAATCACTCATTTTTGAGCTAGAGATAATTGTTTTCAATTCGACTTATGTCATCCATGAATAATGTTTAATATTTAGTGCGAATCAGCTTGTGCATACGAATTACAAGTAATAAATATTCATTTAATACATCCGCCGCATCCACCGGCAGAGTCAGCGTTGGGGGTAGAAAGAGACGCAGTAAACGTCCAGCGGGGTAGAAAGGATGCATTAAACGTCCAGCGGGGGTAGAAAGGATGCAGTAAACGTCCAGCGGGGTAGAAAGGATGCAGTAAACGTCCAGCGGGGTAGAAAGGATGCAGTGAAAGGATGCAGTAAACGTCCAGCGGGGGTAGAAGGATGCAGTAAACGTCAAGCGGGGGTAGAAAGGATGCAGTAAACGTCCAGCGGGGGTAGAAAGGACGCAGTAAACGTCCAGCGGGGTAGAAGGATGCAGTAAACGTCAAGCGGGGGTAGAAAGGATGCAGTAAACGTCCAGCGGGGGTAGAATGGATGCAGTAAACGTCCAGCGGGGGTAGAAATGACGCAGTAGACGTCCAGTGGGGGGTAGAAATGACGCAGTAGATGCTCAGTAAACATAACGCATGAGGTAGAAATTCTACCGAATCTAGGGAAGTTTTTTCAGGCATTGAGCAGGAATAGGGAAAGTTCTCGATAACAGCAACAGTATTGGCAGAATTGCCTTTTTATGCACACATATTTACTAGAAAAAAAATAAACTATAAACATACAGTTCAAACTTCAACTTCGAACAAAAAGATCACAATTTAAAGAGATGAAGGTTCTGGAAAAATCTATGGGCAACTTATTACAAGGGACATGGACTGATTAAAAACAGGAAATTTAAATTTAAAAAATATATTACGAGTCTTGAGAAAATGGGAGCCATGGCAAGCAGATTATTTAGACGTCCGTTAAGTTGTGTTTAGGAGATGTGTTCGCTCGACTTGGATTTCAGTTTCAATTAATTCAATGAATGAACTCTATGTAATGAATGAACCAAATTAAATTGAAGCAAATCCTAATTGCTTGTCTCGATTGCTCGACTTTGACCGATATTAAGGATTTATCATCACACAAGAGCGCTTTTGCCGACGTGGAAATAAAATTAATTTAAACGTGTATTTTATTTCTTTGTATCCGTTAAAATTTGCGTTCAAGGTGCCAGTGAAAGTCTATTGCAATGATCATCGGAATTCCCTCAAGCTGTGCAAACGTCATTCATTTTACCTTCTATGATATTTTTGCTCGTGTTAATAACTACCATAACGTATTGACCGTTGCTAATTTTAAATTTGATCTCGCTAAATTTTCGTATCGCACGTATCCGCAAACTCGCTTTTAATTCCGAATTGTTTAGAGAAAGCCAACAAATGCCGCTTTAAAAATTTCACATTGATAACAGTATTTCTGTTATAACGGACGTATTAATATCTAATCTAAGAAAAAATCTCTTGTAAAAATGTCTTTGACGACGAAAACACTGTTTCAAAGAGGATATATCGCACGAAGCATGATCCATACTGGTCTGTAACAGGGAATGTTCTCGCAAAAATTTAGAGCATCATTCATTATTTATTTTAAAATATCTAAATAGATGAAACCATCCTACATATACGAGCTGAACGTCACTCGGATGAAAAATGCTCAACGGAAAGGATTTTGGCCGTGAATAAAAAATAGATCTCACAGCTCGCAGGAGAAATGCGCCTCCAAGGACCTAGACATGGAGAACATCAATCAAGTCTGAACCAACATCAAGAACAACAACAACAATTGATGGGAATAAAACTATCTCTGCGGTAGAGGAAATGCCAGGCGAACCTTCTTTTTCATCTCTGGTCGGTAGCAGGTCATCCAACCACTGTCCTAGAGCGCCCACCCAGTGCCCACCTGACCCAGGGAGGGAATACATCTTATAATTAATGCGTCCTTCTAGTATCCAGCTCATTACCAGCTCTTCCCAGCTCTTTACCAGTTCTTTAATGTACTTGCCCATCTGGGTTCACTGAATGACCAGCTGACTCACTAAACCACTGAAATGATGAGAAGAGTTAACTCAGTGACATCTTCAACTCCGGTGCTAACCTCGACCATAACCAAACACAATAGATAGTAATTTGTAAATGTGAACTTCATTAAATGAATTTTTCGAAAAAATGTGGTAATTTGTCACTTTTGTCCAGTATTTAGATCGTGGAGCGATTGCATGACGAGCACAATCGGTCAACAGCCTCGCGCTTCAGTTTCACCCAATAAATTCGGCAATAAAGACCACGCTTACTTTTACACAGCAAAACACGTAGAATCGATTACATCTCAATCATGAAAAAGAAACTATAACGGGCTTACTGTAAAATCAAATTCCGTTTGAATTTACTGTTTATACGTT